TATGAGTGATTCGTTGTAGTGAAAAATAGCAGAACCACAATTTACAATTAGGGCTATTCCATTAAAATGTATGTGGGAGGGTAGGAAGGGAAGTTTAATTATTGAATGTGGGTCATGGGTCTTTTTCAGTATGCATCTATTACCATTATGCAAAATTATCTAAAAAAAATGGTTCTTGGTTGTAGGGATATTTTGAAAGTCCCTTCCTACCCTCCCACATACATTTTAATGGAATAGCCCTTAAATACAACATTAAACTTAACAAACAATAACCAATGTAAGTTATGATGGCATATGAAGCTGAAACAATACACCTATATCTTTTACTTTTTTCAATACAATAGTAATGGTTATGATTTTATTGTTCCAAAAAAATTTCTTGATTATTTGACCAAAAAGGTTGGAACAACCAAGGTAGGCATTTTGATTTTCACAGAAATCTTCTTTTTTTATAAAAACCTCCTCTTAATATCTACATATGAATTGATTATTTGATAAAAAAAAAAATGCAGTGAAAATGTGTAGATGGCATACCCCTCTTTGAAATCATTCTGAAAAACAATTTACAATACCCTTTGTCAGATGCCTCAGATCTTTGGTGCAAAAAGGAATTTCCAATGCATACATTGGGGCACGACAATATTTCTGTTCCTATTTAATTACCACTCTGTTTCTTTGGACTGAAATATTCTTGTTATTCCAAAACCTGCATGCAAGGTAAGACAGCCTACAAACCTTGAAATAGCAATTTTTAACATTTTAAAATCTAACTCAACATTAATTACTAATATGCCAGTAAAAAATTAAGCACCCATAACTAGAAAACCTTGGACACTCAAGGGAAGATTTTCTGTCGTCTGACTCAGACCTTAAGATCATAAAACTTTTAAGTACAATTATTGTACTCAGACTCACAAATCAACCAATCAAAGTACTGGATTTGGTGTTTCAAGTACAAATTTTGTTCTCTGAGTACAGAGTAAATTTATATTACTGATAGGCCAGGTACAGAAATATCACTCTCAATATGGTTCAGGATTTTTTATAAGATTTTAACAATGGTAACTGAAAAAGATGAGACAATCGCAATGGTAAGCTTTTGTAACAAATTTTTTCAAGTCATAGATGATTGAAACTACCAACATGTCCAAGATTTTTGTATCTTGCATTTTCATGGGAGTTTCATTGTCAGAATTGAAGCTATATCTGTGCATTAGTTTTTATTCTGAATTACAATATTATATGGTTTATTTATGATTCCAAGTATCAATGATTTGTTTATTCAAACTTTTGAAAGTTTTTAAGTACAACAAGGCGATAAAAGCACTTTTTCAAGATGAAGCAATATGAAAATTTATCCTTGCCTATGCCAATAAGTAGCATAAAATAAAGCTAAACCCAACAAGAAAAAGAAATATAGATTCTACCACACTGTCCCATTGATTATAATATTTATCCATTTTCAATATTGAAAAATTGAAAAATTCCGAGTATAATATTATGAAATGATTTTTCTGCAAATCACAAGCAACAATGCAAACAACATGTGTTTTATCCAAAATTTATCCCACTAAATAATTCCTGTTTAAATGCATGAAGAATAAGAGAAATTTGTATTTCATAATAAATTTGAAATTAAAAATGGTAAAAAGGGAAAACAATTTTATAACAAGTAGATAAGGCAAACAAATTCAGCAAAGATTTAGCACTACCACTTATACCGAGTACAAGGTACAAGAATATCTCTTCATTCGGTAGTTTTCTTATAGTAAGATAACTAGAAAATCTCTTCAATCAGTAGTTTCATTTTAGTAAAATTAAACCTATTTTTAAACTATGATATGCCAACAGTATGAAGTGAAATCTAAAGGAAATATGCACAAATTCATTTATAGAGTTCAAATCTAAGCAATGCTTGAAATTTGACAACTAACATATAACTTCATTATCTGAGCAATTTGTAACATATTGAAATATGGAATAATATGCACATATTCTGACTTATTACATGCTATGAAATGAGTATTGAAAATTTCTTTTAAACAAAAGAAAAGGAATTATAACACACACATTTTGAACCTAAAAGAAATTTTTAAAATTCTAAAAAATCTTTAACCCTTCCAAAAAAAAAATTCAAGCACAAATGTGTAACTTAACATGCTTAAAGCATGTTCAATATTGTACAATTAACATACCTATTAAAAAAAGCAAATTTATGTTATAAAACAAACTAAATATCAGTGTATTTAGATAATTAGTATTTTTATTCGACAACGTTTGTTTAAACTCATTGATTAATAATAAATTACCGTAATTATTTCAAAAAAGCAAGGACCCCAAAGATGTGACTTATCACAAAAAATATAACTCCAACAAAAATGAACTTTTCATAGCATTGGCATGAAATTTGCTGTAATGTATCATTATAACGCTAATAAAATGCTTCGCTGGGCGCAGCTTGATGCGACCGCAGAGGTCGAACCCTGAACAGTTGGGGCAAGTATGGACACAACATTCAAGCTTGATACATCTCTGAATTTGGATTGTGATTAAATATTTGACACAGCATAGGTTTCTGACACAGAAAGAATGTGGTCTAATAACTTCAATTTTTTTAATTTACCTATTATGGTCCAATGTCCAAAATCAAAATACATGGTTAGATTCAGCATATCAAAGTACCCCAAGAATTCAATTTTTGTTAAAATCAAACTAAGTTTAATTTTGGACCCTTTGGACCTTAATGTAGACCAATTTAAAAAACGGGACCCAAAATTAAAAATCTAAAAACACGGTTAGATTTGGCATATCAAAGAACCCCAATAATTCAATTTTTAATGAAATCAAACAAAGTTTAATTTTGGACCCTTTTGACCTCAATATGAACCAATTTGATAGCGGGCCCACAAATAAAAAATCTAAATACATGGTAAGATTCAGCATATCAAAGAACCCCATATATTCAATTTTTGTTGAAATCATATAAAGTTTAATTTTGGACCCCAATTTGGACCAACTTGAAAACTGGGCCACAAATAAAAAATCTAAATACATGGTAAGATTCAGCATATCAAAGAACCCCATATATTCAATTTTTGTTGAAATCAAACAAAGTTTAATTTTGGACCCCAGTTTGGACCAACTTGAAAACTGGGCCAAAAATCTAAAATCTAAATACATGTTTAGATTCAGCATATCAAAGAACCCCATATATTCAATTTTTGTTGAAATCAAACAAAGTTTTATTTTGGACCCCAACTTGGACCAACTTGAAAACTGGGCCCATAATAAAAAATCTAAACACATGTTTAGATTCAGCATATCAAAGAACCCCAAGAATTCAATTTTTGTTAAAATCAAACTAAGTTTAATTTTGGACCCTTTGGACCTTAATGTAGACCAATTTAAAAAACGGGACCCAAAATTAAAAATCTAAATACACGGTTAGATTTGGCATATCAAAGAACCCCAATAATTCAATTTTTGATGAAATCAAACAAAGTTTAATTTTGGACCCTTTTGACCTCAATATGAACCAATTTGATAGCGGACCCACAAATAAAAAATCTAAATACATAGTAAGATTCAGCATATCAAAGAACCCCATATATTCAATTTTTGTTGAAATCAAACAAAGTTTAATTTTGGACCCCAGTTTGGACCAACTTGAAAACTGGGCCAAAAATCTAAAATCTAAATACATGTTTAGATTCAGCATATCAAAGAACCCCATATATTCAATTTTTGTTGAAATCAAACAAAGTTTTATTTTGGACCCCAACTTGGACCAACTTGAAAACTGGGCCCATAATCAAAAATCTAAACACATGTTTAGATTCAGCATATCAAAGAACCCCAAGAATTCAATTTTTGTTAAAATCAAACAAAGTTTAATTTTGGACCTTTTGGACCTTAATGTAGACCAATTTGAAAACTGGATCCAAAATTAAAAATCTAAATACACGGTTAGATTCGGCATAACAAATAAATAAATGTGGTCAAAGATTTTACAAATCTAATGCGCCATACTGTGCAATTAAAGATTACTTCTTGAAATTTTTCAATATTTGAAATTTGAAAAAAAAATAATATTTGAAGAATAATTCTTTTTAATTTCTGAAATCTGAAATGAGAAAAAATTGACCCCCACAATTTCTTTTTACCCCCCCCCCTTTTTTTCCCCAAACCATAATTACCCATTTAAATTTACCATAGTGCTAACTTAATCTATTTTATAATAGAAGTTAAAATATAGTGTCAAATCTTTCATATGGATTTTTTTGTAAAAAAAAAAGATGCAACATTTGCAGATATTTTTACTGGTCTTCCTTTATAAATATGCATTTCTTTAAACATAATTTAAAAGCAGTGTAAGGGAAGTAACCAAAACGTTGTATTTGGATTACCTCCCTTACACTGTTTTAAATTATCTTAATTGTTCATTAACCATTACTTTATACATAATTTAAAAGCAGTGTAAGGGAGATAATTTCAATGATGTATTTGATTTATCTCCCTTACACTGCTTTAAATTATGTTTTGTACTAAAGTATTTGTCCATTAACCAGGACAACCTTGTTTTTCCCCCTTTTTTGCCCCTAATTCTTAAACGGTTTGAGCCATAACCCCCCAAAGCAAATCCTAACCATCCCTTTGTGGTATGGAAACTTGTAGTATAATTTCAGAGAGATCCATACACCGTTCCACAGTTATTGTCTGGAAACTAGAAAATGCTTATTTTTGGCCCCTTTTTGGCCCCTAATTCCTTAACTGTTGGTACCATAACCCCCAAAATCAATCCCCACCTTCCTTTTGTTGTATTGAACCTTATGGTGAAATTTCATAGAGATCCATTCACTTAAACTAAAGTTAGAGTGCGAAAACTAATGCGTCTTCGGACGACGACGCCGGACGACGACGACGACGCCGGACGACGACGACGACGCCAACGTCATACCAATATACGACCACAAAAATTTTTTTTTGCGGTCGTATAATAAAAAGGTTAAAAACTAGTAAAAATGTAGTAATTATCTGAACAATAAAAATGTATAAGCCCAAAATATATTTTTATAGATTCTGTCAGCTTTTAAAAAAAACCTCTTCTTTTGTCTAGAAAAAAATTTGAATAAGAAAAGTTCACACAACAGAAACATAACTGCTAACAAAAAAACAGACAAAACTTTGACTTTCTGTTAGCACTTTCATTTATACAGATCTAAGACAAATTTCCACATCTACTCACAAAATAACATTGTGATAACAATATTATTGCTAATGACCTTCCTAGAGGCCAACATTTTACATTTGTAGGTTTAAATTATTTGTCCAAAATTATAAGGTAGCAAGAAGATAAAAGGATAAATGACAAAAACAAAACCTGATTTGAAAAAAATATTTTGTTTAAATTATCATAATAATCTGTCTAAAAAATTCATGCACAGGAAAAAAATCAAAAATGGAACATTTCCTCTCATTCTTCAATCGGGGTGGATCTAAAAATATTATATTGGCTCATTCATTAAAACCTATAAATAAAATATGTTGGCCTATTTTGTAACAACACAATAAATGACTAAAATATATATCATTCAACACATCAAGTATCATAATCATCATCCTCATTAGAGTTCTGTGACACTACTGTACAAATGCTGGTTTTTACCACACTATTCTTTGATGATGATGATGAAGTTGTGCATAAATCTAACGGCTGATTTCTGTAAATAAATAAATTGCTGTCAATCTACTGTAAACCGACTTATTCTTACAAGCGATTTAATTTCAAAGCTTTTACAAGTAGTAAAAAAAAACACAAATATAACATGCGAATAGGTTAAACTTGGATCTTCTCACATAAGAATCCATCAACAAAGTTATAAAATCATGACAATAAATTGTTGCGAAGTTGGCTCGAAAGGGCAATATGCCAAAAAATATCCGCAAAAATAAGTTTGTTTACCGAATTAATGTAAATCAAGATATCTGATTTCAATCTATATATTTTTTTCAGTGTATTAAACCTAAAATTTTTATTATGTATTTCAATGTCGGAGAAAATTCCTACAGATGTTAATTTACTAGTTATCCTGAGGAAATCTATGAAAGAACTTACGATTCATCTATTGTGACTGGTGGTAACCCTGAGCTCGGGAATGGTGGCATCAACGGTACAAATGGATTCGATGGCATCATGTGGCCGACTGATGGCATCTTATTGACATAAGGGGGAATAAATGTTGATGAACTATGACTAATAGGTGATGTAAAACTTGATTTTTGAGCTAATCCTGCACTACTTGGCAATGACGCATTAAAACTTTGATCGTATGAGATAGGTTCGGCTGGATGGGATTCCGATGAGTGATCATCTTCATCTGTTTCAGTATCTTCATCGTCATCCTCATCTTCTGCTGGATCTTCATTTACTGGATTATCTCCATTGTTTGTGTTGTGATTGTTTTCCTCCTGTAAACATGCAACAGTAAAATAAATCCTAGAAAATTTCTCACCCTTGAGTGTCAGACTATAGAAATAAAAAATACATAAATGGGGCCCTGCTGACTTTCAGCTCATTGCCTATAGTAGTCACTTGGCCACCAGCAACTTCTTTATTGAATAAATTATTTCGGTAATTTTTAAATAGTAGGTTGGAAGTGCAGAAATGAAGCTACCTTTCAATGGTAAAGATTTTCTAAATTTCTAAACCATCTTTTTCCCTTTTTTTCTTCATTTTTTAAGTTTAAATTTCATTAATTTAAGACCACACTATATTAAGGCTATATCGGTACAGCAGATGCAATAGATAACACAGAACAAAATCTGATGTATATGCTATCAAAATCATTGTATTGCAATGCAAACTAAAACAATGACAATAAAATGCTTCGCTGGGGCGCAGCTTGATACGACCGCAGAGGTCGAACCCTGAACAGTTGGGGCAAGTATGGACACAACATTCAAGCTTGATACAGCTCTGAATTTGGATTGTTATTAAATATTTGACACAGCATAGGTTTCTGACACAGAAAGAATGTGGTCTAAGAACTTGAATTTTTTTAATTTATCTATTATGGTCCAATGTCCAAAATCAAAATACATGGTTAGATTCAGCATATCAAAGAACCCCATATATTCAATTTTTGTTAAAATCAAACAAAGTTTAATTTTGGACCCCAACTTGGACAAACTTGAAAACTGGGCCCATAATCAAAAATCTAAACACATGTTTAGATTCAGCATATCAAAGAACCCCAAGAATTCAATTTTTGCTAAAATCAAACTAAGTTTAATTTTGGACCCTTTGGACCTTAATGTAGACCAATTTAAAAAACGGGACTTAAAATTAAAAATCTAAATACACGGTTAGATTTGGAATATCAAAGAACCCCAATAATTCAATTTTTGATGAAATCAAACAAAGTTTAATTTTGGACCCTTTTGACCTCAATATGAACCAATTTGATAGCGGGGCCCACAAATAAAAATTCTAAATACATGGTTAGATTCAGCATATCAAAGAACCCCATATATTCAATTTTTGTTGAAATCAAAAAAAGTTTAATTTTGGACCCCAACTTGGAACAACTTGAAAACTGGGCCCATAATCAAAAATCTAAACACATGTTTAGATTCAGCATATCAAAGAACCCCAAGAATTCAATTTTTGTTAAAATCAAACTAAGTTTAATTTTGGACCCTTTGGACCTCAATGAAGACCAATTTAAAAAACGGGACCCAAATTAAAAATCTAAAAACACGGTTAGATTTGGAATATCAAAGAACCCCATGATTCAATTTTCGATGAAATCAAACAAAGTTTAATTTTGGACCCTTTTGACCTCAATATGAACCAATTTGATAGCGGGGCCCACAAATAAAAAATCTAAATACATGGTTAGATTCAGCATATCAAAGAACCTCATATATTCAATTTTTGTTGAAATCAAACAAAGTTTAATTTTGGACCCCAATTTGGACCAACTTGAAAACTGGGCCCATAATCAAAAATCTAAATACATGTTTAGATTCAGCATATCAAAGAACCCCATATATTCAATTTTTGTTGAAATCAAACAAAGTTTAAATACTGGACCCTATCTTGGACCAACTTGAGAACTGGGCCCATAATCAAAAATCTAAACACATGTTTAGATTCAGCAAATCAAAGAACCCCAAGAATTAATTTTTGTTAAAATCAAACTAAGTTTAATTTTGGACCCTTTGGACCTCAATGTAGACCAATTTAAAAAACAGGACCCAAAATTAAAAACCTAAATACACGGTTAGATTTGGAATATCAAAGAACCCCAATAATTCAATTTTAGATGAAATCAAACAAAGTTTAATTTTGGACCAATTTGACCTCAATATGAACCAATTAGATAACGGGGTCCACAAATAAAAAATCTAAATACATGGTTAGATTCAGCATATCAAAGAACCCCATATATTCAATTTTTGTTGAAATCAAACAAAGTTTAATTTTGGACCCCAATTTGGACCAACTTGAAAACTGGGCCAAAAATCAAAAATCTAAATACATGTTTAGATTCAGCATATCAAAGAACCTCATATATTCAATTTTTGCTAAAATCAAACAAAGTTTAATTTTGGACCCTTTGGACATTAATGTAGACCAATTTGAAAACTGGACCCAAAACTAAAAATCTAAATACACTGTTAGATTCGGCATAACAAATAAATAAATGTGATCAAAGATTTTACAAATCTAATGCGCCATACTGTGCAATTAAAGATTACTTCTTGAAATTTTTCAATATTTGAAATTTGAAAAAAAAAAAATATTTGAAGAATAATTCTTTTTAATTTCTGAAATCTGAAATGAGAAAAAATTGGCCCCCCACAATTTCTTTTTATCCCCCCCCCCCCCCCTTTTTCCCCCCAAAAAATTCTTTCCCTCAAGATATGGTCATAATCTCAATTCAAATTTCCAATGGAGTTGGCAACCATAATTACCCATTTAAATTTACCATAGTGCTAACTTAATCTATTTTATAATAGAATTAATAAAAATATAGTGTCAAATCTTTCATATGGATTTTTTTGTAAAAAAAAAAGATGAAAACATTTGCAGATATTTTTACTGGTCTTCCTTTATAAATATGCATTTCTTTAAACATAATTTAAAAGCAGTGTAAGGGAAGTAACCAAAACGTTGTATTTGGATTACCTCCCTTACACTGTTTTAGATTATCTTTATTGTTCATTAACCATTACTTTATACATAATTTAAAAGCAGTGTAAGGGAGATAATTTCAATGATGTATTTGATTTATCTCCCTTACACTGCTTTAAATTATGTTTTGTACTAAAGTATTTGTCCATTAACCAGGACAACCTTGTTTTTCCCCCTTTTTTGCCCCTAATTCCTAAACGGTTTGAGCCATAACCCCCCAAAGCAAATCCTAACCATCCCTTTGTGGTATGGAAACTTGTAGTATAATTTCAGAGAGATCCATACACCGTTCCACAGTTATTGTCTGAAAACTAGAAAATGCTCATTTTTGGCCCCTTTTTGGCCCCTAATTCCTTAACTGTTGGTACCATAACCCCCAAAATCAATCCCAACCTTCCTTTTGTGGTATTTAACCTTATGGTGAAATTTCAAAAAGATCCATTCACTTAAACTAAAGTTAGAGTGCGAAAACCAATATGTATTCGGACGACGACGCCGGACGACGACGACGACGCCGGACGACGACGACGACGACGACGACGACGACGACGACGCCAACGTCATACCAATATACGACCACAAAATTTTTTTGCGGTCGTATAAAAATCTGCTGTACAAGATAGCCAAAAATTGTGCTTACTAGCAATGGGAACATTATAGATCCAATTAAAAGTAAAAACTAACCTTAAAAGATAAGCCATAAAGCCCTTCAGACTTGATATTTTAGTAAAGGTTGCTATATTTCTTATACTATTATGAAGTCCTATATAATAGATTTTTAATATTCAAAGCCATTAAGAAGAATTGCAGGCCCTAAAGTCAAATATATTTCAATTTGTCTCTTGATTTTCAGAATCAAATCATATGTTAAATCTATGTACATGTACTAGTACTGATTAAAACATTCAATTTTGGATTCAAATATGTGGAAAAAGTTATTTAAACAGTAAGAAATGTGTGTATCTATTCTCTTGTGAAAATGTATTTTGAGAAAAATTTATACTCAATCAAAATTTTGGAAAAAATTGTCTCAAGTAAAATTTATATTTTCTAAAAATCTTTAAAATCTTGTTTGTGATCTCACACTTAAGTTGTGTCATCAAGGATTGACAAATATTCACATTTTCTAATGGCTGTTTTCTGAGGCTTGAAAATATGATAAGTAATGCTATCATACAATTTGTTTTCTTTCTGTGAATGTATAGGGCCAAATAAGCCCCAAAATGTACCCCCTTGTTTGTTGTTTTCACAGAAAGATTTTAACAAAAGCTTTGAAAAGTATACACTCTAAATCACATAATTTGAGTGGCACATTTTCCAAAATGCTATTAGATTATTTTTATCTTGAAATAAATTAAATCAAAGCAATATTAAATGAAGATTGAAAGCAAAACTAGAGCTTTATAATGCCTTCAACTTTTAATCTTGTGTCAAGTTGTAACCTTGATCTTTGACCTTGGATATTGAAATCAAAAGTATCTAAATGTCAATATGGCCAAGCACAATCAGTTTGTCTCTATAGAACTTGCAAGCTTTATTCCCTTAAACCATGTTGTTACCTGGATCCCTCATATAGAAATAAAAAAAGTATTTGTAACCTCTAAACGACCAAGCAGTGGTCTGATTAAATATTAATATCTTTCGAAATTTCCTACATACCTCAGAACTTTCCGATGACTTTTTCTTTCTGCCTCTTCTTTTTTCTGATTTTTCTTTTTGTTTTCTTGGCCTGATTTTTATTAACAATAACAAATTTCAATATTAGATTACCAGCATTTCATGGCAGTTCCATGGTTAGTTAAGGTCACTTGCAATCTTTCATTTTAAAATCATTTATGAATTTCAGAATATTGCATTAATTTTCAGATCAATGGTCATAGTTGTTGAATGGATGCATAACTTGAAATATACAGCTTACAAGGGGATCTGGGTGCCTACTCATCGCTGAAGATCAAACAGCATTTTCAACACATAATTTTAGTTGGAAAAATCTTTTCAAAAATTATTTCACCGTAAATTGTGATTGATTTAAGTTATGGATTTTTTGTGTATTTTGTAAATACAAAATGTAGTAAAACAATGTATAGTAATACATGTACTTGTATCTCGTAAACCAAAAAATAAAGCACTAATTTACTTTGAACTAACTTGATCTTCAATCAATAACTTAGCTGAAAACTCTTATATACCTGCTGTTGTAAACATTAATTTGTATTTCATGTGCAAATTACCATATTTGAAGACGTTGTTGTACATAAAGTAAACACATGTTTTGTGCATTAATTTATTACCGGTAATTGTACATGTTTAGTAATAACAGAAATATAATATTTTTGTGTTGATTCTATTAATGTGGACAACCTTATCAAGACACAATTTAAGAATATATTCCTTTCCATATTCATTTCCAAAAGTCTGAATTTGAATCTAAAACCAAATTTAGTTCTACACTGCGAACATTGTAGCTCCTGCTGACAAGTACTTTTGCCTTGCTGCCGTGAAGAAATTTTGGATTTTTTGGTCTTTCAAAACTAACTATCCAAAGACACCTTCATCTTTGTAAAATCAACAATTCCTTGTTACTTAAAAAAATTTGCTTTTCATAAAAACTAGTTGGGAATCTTATTCCCACAGGTTTTTACCTCATTTGTTCAATGTTTGCAAATAATATGATTAATTTACCATTTTTTAACAGTTACTATCATTCTACAAAAAAGGAATACCAGGAATTTGTTATTTTAGTTCTACAGACATATCCGTCCTGAAATTAGCAACATTTAGTTTTCTGTTCTATTTGCATTAAAATGTTTATTCTTGAAAGTTTTTTTTTTAATTCTATAAGTAACAATACCTTTTTTGTTTCTTTGTTTCACCATGATTTGAACTTTCACCTTCATCTTCTGCTTGGTGATCAGGTATAGAGGATACAAGGTCTCTTAAAAAGTCAAACTTTTTCTCGGACTGAATAGTTTGCTTACTACAATTATCAAATAAACAATGTCAAATAAATGTATATATATATATATATGACATTATATTTTAGCTTTTTCAATACTGTTAATTCAGAAAGTTTTTATTGGTACAAAAAATTGTGACGGAATAGATGTCACAAAAATAAAACTTGCATTTTGAATTTTGATTTCACTATTTGTATGCAGCATTTACTGAAATCATAATAATTCATCTCACATTTTCGTCCATTCTTCAAAAATTGCAAAATGCACACAAAAATTTCTGAATTTACAGTACTATTTACGGTAACATAGCCAATATTCATTTACACTTCATTTAACACTCATTAATTAATATTTAAACTTTAAATTTTAAAAATAAATTGCTTCGCTGAGCGCAGCTGGATACGACCGCAGATGTCCAACCCTGAAAAGTTGGGTCCAAAATGGACACAATATTTATGCTTGATACAGGTTTGAATTTGGATTGTAATTAAATATTTGACACATAATAGGTTTCTGCCATAGAATAACTGTAGTCAAAGAACTTAAAAATTGGTTATATGATTTGAATTTATATTCAATTTTTTGCTTTTGTGCAATACACTATGCTGTTGCAAATTGACCCCCTCCCTCCCCCCTAAATAAAACGTTTTTTGGCTTTTGTGCAATACACTATCCTGTTGAATATTAACCCCCAAAAAAAATATTTGAAGAAATTTTCTTTTTAATTTCTGAAATCTGAAATGAGAAAAAATAGTCCCTACAAATTCTTATTTACCTAACCCCCAATTTTTTTTCACCTCCCCGTTTCCCTTATTCCAAAAAAAATTCATTCCCTCAAGTTGTAGTCATAATCTCAATACAAATTTTAATAAAGTTTGCAACCATAATAACCCTTTTAAATACATGATACAAGTCTTAAAATACAAAATGACATACATAGTCATGGCTAAAATTAATATTAATTAATAGTTACTTTTAAAAATTAATTGACAGCTTATCACCTCAAGACAATCATCATTTCTTAATACATAATTTACAAGCAGTGTAAGGGAGGTAATCAAACATTGTTGTTTTAAATTGGGATTGGCTTACCTCCCTTAGACTGCTTTTAAATTGTCTTAATTGTCCTGTAACTAGAAAAAAACTTGTTTTCCCCCCTTTTTTGCCTCTAATTCCTAAATGATTTGAGCCATAACCCCCATAGTCAATCCTAACCATCCCTCTGTTGTATGGAAACTTGTGGTATAATTTCAGAGAGATTCATACACTTTAACACAAGTTATTTTCTGAAAACTACAAAAATGCTTATTTGGGCCCCTTTTTTGGCCCATAATTCCTAAACAGTTGGGACCATAACCCCTAAAATCAATCCCAACCTTCCTATAGTTGTTCTAAACCTTGTTTTAAATTTTATTGATTTCTATGAACTTATACTAAAGTTATTATCCGGAAACCATCCGTCTTCGGACGAGGCTGACGAAGACAACAACGACGACGTGATACCAATATACGACCAAAAAATTTTTAATTTTTGCGGTCGTATAAAAAGATTATATAACAGTATAAAACGAAACTTTTTTGGCTATTTCAGAGATTTTCAACATTTATTTATCAATTTCTCAATTTGGTCATGTTTCATTCTGAGTTATATTTAGCATTAAAGCCTTTTAACTATTGTTTAATTGAATTTTATGATATGTGTAAGAGTCATGTCCCCTGCCATACCAAAGAACTAAATATAGCTACAACCTGAACCTAAATGAAATTGAAAATATGAAGATGTTTCAGCCAATGGTAAAATGTATGTCATAATGATGAAACTGTTAGAGATTGGAACAACATTTATGATCCAATAAATGAGATGAGCTGTGTGGGATAGAAATTGACTTTATGCAAGTGCATAAGACTTTGATTGATTTTAGCACATTCAAATACCAAATAAAATATGAATTTTTGTCTGTTTTGTCATGTTTGTAGGGTTCTTATATCAACTCAATTTTCAAACAGTAACAGACTTTGCATAGATTTTTTACCACCCGAAATTGGCTAACAGATTTATAACAGCTCATATATAGATCTTGATTGATGGCTGTGCAATGTCCAGCACCAAATATCAAATGCACAATTAGGACAATAACATGCTAATGAGATATGATATATCCTGCTTTGTACTAGACTGACATGCTGAGTTAGCTCACAAGGTTATAGTCCACAGGAAGATATATCACCCTACTCCAACATATTATTCTCCCTCAGAGCTGACCATTCTTTCCTTTTAATCCTAAATTCTGCATCCTTGGCTCTGAAACAGTAAACACCAATTTTCAAGTCTTTGGTTTGAGTTTGACCCAGCGGGTTGTTGAAACCTACAACCTCCCACACTCAAGGCAGATCCATCACATAAGAATTATCATAAAAATATGACACCTGCTTTCTGCTCATCTTCAAGTGTCTCTAATCTCAAAAATAATTATGTTTACTGAGTTAATACAAAATGTACTTACATGTGAGTTGCTGTTAATGTCTTGGCATTTCTGTTTGAAGTTGTTTCCCCTGTTTTCACAATTAATGTTTCAATGAACTTTTCAAGAGCTCTAGCTAGGATGTGTTAAGGTGTACTGTAATTTAAACATCTGCATGGATTTTTTGTCATAAAATGATACAAGATACATATATATAACTATTCATAGGGTCAAATGATATACATGTACCAGCATTGGTTAAGCTCACAATTGCTTTATGGGCCAGGTGAAATAGATTAGTATGGAGCAAATATACATTTGTAAGTATAATTTAAAAGCCAACTATTCTTCAAAATATGGATACAAATAATAACAGGGACAGCAGCTGCCACTTTTCCTACTTCTTCATCTGTTTGCATAATCTTCTTGATTCTGGCCTGAAACAAAAGGATGCTTAGATTTCATTCATATTCTAACAAAATGGGCGAAATATATAACCTTACATATATATTTATCAGTTTACTTACCCAAAATCCAAATAAAAAGGATAAATGAGAATGCAGTCCTCAATAACAGTAGAAAATTCAATAATAAGAAAAATCAATATACTTATAAACTCAAAATCATTATCAATTTTGAACTTTTTTCAGACTTCCGCATTAGTGCAGAAGTCTTTTCCAGTTTGATTTTCTTTCTTTTATCATTTGTCTCAGGACTTTGCATAATATATAAGAGAATCATCTGATTCCACACAAATTTGCTGTATTCTGGTTACAAAAAGAATATTGGTAGTTAAAAAATGAAAATAAATTCTGAATCAATTTGAATTTTATAGGTGTAATACCACCAAAACATGGTACGTCACATCCAGTTTCATACGAAAAAGGGTAGAAAAAAAAATTCCCTTGAATTTGACAGCTGTGGGAAATTAAACCAGCTTTTCATTGCAGAAAAGTTCTGAGTCACAAACATATATGTTAGGTGTTGTAAAGTGCTATTATCTTTTTAATTGGTGTTTCTCTAAAATATTTTGGAAATTTGTTGCGAGACGATTATAAAGCTTGTAAATAGGAAATAAAATGCTTCGCTGGGGCGCAGCTTGATACGACCGCAGAGGTCGAACCCTGAACAGTTGGGGCAAGTATGGACACAACATTCAAGCTTGATACAGCTCTGAATTTGGATTGTTATTAAATATTTGACACAGCATAGGTTTCTGACACAGAAAGAATGTGGTCTAAGAACTTGAATTTTTTTTAATTTACCTATTATGGTCCAATGTCCAAAATCAAAATACATGGTTAGATTCAGCATATCAAAGAACCCCATATATTCAATTTTTGTTAAAATCAAACAAAGTTTAATTTTGGACCCCAACTTGGACAAACTTGAAAACTGGGCCCATAATCAAAAATCTAAACACATGTTTAGATTCAGCATATCAAAGAACCCCAAGAATTCAATTTTTGCTAAAATCAAACTAAGTTTAATTTTGGACCTTAATGTAGACCAATTTAAAAAACGGGACTTAAAATTAAAAATCTTAATACACGGTTAGATTTGGAATATCAAAGAACCCCAATAATTCAATTTTTGATGAAATCAAACAAAGTTTAATTTTGGACCCTTTTGACCTCAATATGAACCAATTTGATAGCGGGGCCCACAAATAAAAAATCTAAATTCATGGTTAGATTCAGCATATCAAAGAACCCCATATATTCAATTTTTGTTGAAATCAAAAAAAGTTTAATTTTGGACCCCAACTTGGACCAACTTGAAAACTGGGCCCATAATCAAAAATCTAAACACATGTTTAGATTCAGCATATCAAAGAACCCCAAGAATTCAATTTTTGTTAAAATCCAACTAAGTTTAATTTTGGACCCTTTGGACCTCAATGAAGACCAATTTAAAAAACGGAACCCAAATTAAAAATCTAAAAACACGGTTAGATTTGGCATATCAAAGAACCCCAATAATTCAATTTTCGATGAAATCAAACAAAGTTTAATTTTGGACCCTTTTGACCTCAATATGAACCAATTTGATAGTGGGGCCTACAAATAAAAAATCTAAATACATGGTTAGATTCAGCATATCAAAGAACCTCATATATTCATTTTTTGTTGAAATCAAACAAAGTTTAATTTTGGACCCCAATTTGGACCAACTTGAAAACTGGGCCCATAATCAAAAATCTAAATACATGTTTAGATTCAGCATATCAAAGAACCCCATATATTCAATTTTTGTTGAAATCAAACAAAGTTTAAATACTGGACCCTATCTTGGACCAACTTGAAAACTGGGCCCATAATCAAAAATCTAAACACAAGTTTAGATTCAGCAAATCAAAGAACCCCAAGAATTAAATTTTTGTCAAAATCAAACTAAGTTTAATTTTGGACCCTTTGGACCTCAATGTAGACCAATTTAAAAAACAGGACCCAAAATTAAAAACCTAAATACACGGTTAGATTTGGAATATCAAAGAACCCCAATAATTCAATTTTAGATGAAATCAAACAAAGTTTAATTTTGGACCCTTTTGACCTCAATATGAACCAATTAGATAAGGGGGTCCACAAATAAAAAATCTAAATACATGGTTAGATTCAGCATATCAAAGAACCCCATATATTCAATTTTTGTTGAAATCAAACAAAGTTTAATTTTGGACCCCAATTTGGACCAACTTGAAAACTGGGCCAAAAATCAAAAATCTAAATACATGTTTAGATTCAGCATATCAAAGAACCTCATATATTCAATTTTTGCTAAAATCAAACAAAGTTTAATTTTGGACCCTTTGGACATTAATGTAGACCAATTTGAAAACTGGACCCAAAATTAAAAATCTAAATACACTGTTAGATTCGGCATAACAAATAAATAAATGTGATCAAAGATTTTACAAATCTAATGCGCCATACTGTGCAATTAAAGATTACTTCTTGAAATTTTTCAATATTTGAAATTTGAAAAAAAAATAATATTTGAAGAATAATTCTTTTTAATTTCTGAAATCTGAAATGAGAAAAAATTGGCCCCCCACAATTTCTTTTTATCCCCCCCCCCCCCCTTTTTCCCCCAAAAAAATTCTTTCCCTCAAGATATGGTCATAATCTCAATTCAAATTTCCAATGGAGTTGGCAACCATAATTACCCATTTAAATTTACCATAGTGCTAACTTAATCTATTTTATAATAGAATTAATAAAAATATAGTGTCAAATCTTTCATATGGATTAAAAAAAAAAGATGAAAACATTTGCAGATATTTTTACTGGTCTTCCTTTATAAATATGCATTTCTTTAAACATAATTTAAAAGCAGTGTAAGGGAAGTAACCAAAACGTTGTATTTGGATTACCTCCCTTACACTGTTTTAGATTATCTTTATTGTTCATTAACCATTACTTTATACATAATTTAAAAGCAGTGTAAGGGAGATAATTTCAATGATGTATTTGATTTATCTCCCTTACACTGCTTTAAATTATGTTTTGTACTAAAGTATTTGTCCATTAACCAGGACAACCTTGTTTTTCCCCCTTTTTTGCCCCTAATTCCTAAATGGTTTGAGCCAGAACCCCCCAAAGCAAATCCTAACCATCCCTTTGTGGTATGGAAACTTGTAGTATAATTTCAGAGAGATCCATACACCGTTCCACAGTTATTGTCTGGAAACTAGAAAATGCTCATTTTTGGCCCCTAATTCCTTAACTGTTGGTACCATAACCCCCAAAATCAATCCCAACCTTCCTTTTGTGGTATTTAACCTTATGGTCAAATTTCAAAAAGATCCATTCACTTAAACTAAAGTTAGAGTGCGAAAACCAATATGTATTCGGACGACGACGCCGGACGACGACGACGACGCCGGACGACGACGACGCCAACGTCATACCAATATACGACCACAAAATTTTTTTGCGGTCGTATAAAAAAGGGGTGAAAAATTGATTGGTTTACTTCTGGTGATGGTTATTATCTTAAATGCAATGAAATGTTATTTGAAATTTTCTCTGTAGTACTGGTAATCATGGTAATGATAAAATTTTATTCATGCCAAGTATTTTTTATTTGCAACAACAATAAATTCAGCACAATTTTTGGAAAAATGCCAATTTAACAAAGACTTCTAGGGGGAAAACAATGGTGGTATTACTCCTTGACTCTAGTGCTTATTCAACATACAATTGTAGAGCAAACAAAATTAGTTCTCTGGAGAAAGTCACCTAATCAGACAGACTTTTGTATCTAAGGAAATGGATACATGCAGATTTGTCATGTTTGTATTTTCTTTCGTTTTAAGGCATAAATTATTATATCTTTAATTAAATAATACTTCAATATGAAAAAACAGTTACCTGAAGATATCGTTTCTTTGTTTACATCAATATTGAAAATGATGTCATAAATAAAATTCATAACAATAGGAACAACATGGTCATGATGGTATAGGTTTCCATATTTCAGTCAGTTTTTTAACCAAAGTTATGCATTTTCCCCATGTTCCCCCTTCATTTCGGTAAGAGTTATTTAATTTACAGCCCTCAGTCATGAAGCCAATAATTCAGGGTATCTCGAAAGTAACGAATTGTTTTTAAATGATAGTGATTTTTGTATTATTAAGGTCATAATTTGTAAAATTTAAATATAATTGATGGCCTAATTTTACTGTATTGCTTATTTTGCAAAAATCTGTATGTAAATAGTTATTTAAATGGACTTAGTCTTCTTTTACCAGTAATACTCATTATTTTTTTTAGATTCTGTGTCTGGAGCAATTTTCGGATTTGGCTTCCCTAAAAATCCCTTGTCAAGCCCTATTAAAGGGCATACGTTACAGTTTTGATCCCACGGTGAATTTTTGAAGAAAAGTTTGCATACAAGCTATTTTACACCTAATCAATTCAAATATGTAATAAAAAATATACCATCTTTTAGGGATAAATGGTGTCTGAAAATTTCGGTTTCTTGGACATCTTTATTCTTTAGAAAGACATACCCAACTTTTTGGTTTCAGAAAAAAACCCCAAGCAGATTTTTATAAAAAAATATTTGGGATATCTTCTCTAAATTTTTGTGCTTTGAATTTGTGTAACAATTCTTTGAAAATAATTTATTTTTATAAAAGTTTCATAATTCTATTAAAAACGGGAATTTTTTGCTGTATATATATCTAATTTTAAAAAAATTCATCTGTGACTTGTTCAAAAAAGTAGGCTCAAGTAATCTTCATACATAACCAGGCCAAATGTCATTTTTAAAATGAGGGGTCAATGTACTCATTTTCAAATCAACTCAGTCTGAATGATAAAAACGAGTTGAAAATGTATCTTTTCCCGATATGTCACAGTTTGACATCGTGTAAAATAACATTTTATGTTAGCGACATCATTACCTCCCCTGTAACTGTATGGTATGCCTTTAAGTGTATTCCAGAAAACTTTTTCCAACTAACTCACCTCATACAGGTGCCTTTTACATTTACAGCACCATTCCGCACATCCAACACAGGTTAGAAAAAGGAATTAACACGATTAAGGTAACACCTGCCTCAGTGCCTTATATTAATAATAATGCATGCTTATCTTTATGCTGACTGAGCCCAAAATCAATCATTGACATGTTTAGTCACTAAAGAGTTGCTTCCCAAACATTATCAGGTCACTGTAAAAAATGGTTATGTGAAATATGTGTATCTGAACATTTAATATTAAAAGTTTAGTTTGTAAAGTGTTGGGGTTAAATTTGCCTATTAGCAATTTGCCATATTTCTTACATTCCTATCGTTGGGATTAATAGATATAAAATGTTCTTTTAATCTTTCAACCAAAACAGTTTTTATTATGTATGTTTATTTGTGCAAGTTTTGCATTTCTTCCTGCATTCAACAGGAACCCTTGATTACTTGGGGAAATTAAATAACTGCTATCCTTCTATAACCTTACAGGTGGAAATCTTGAGTTGAATTTCTTTTTCTTGCTTGGCATTATTGCCAAAATCAACCAGCAATCAGATGGAAACGAAGTTTTGTCGAAAGACAACACACCAATGAAAAGCGGAAGTGGTTGCTACCGTTTTAATATAAAAATCGTATGGCACAGAAGCGAAAAAAATCCGGACTACACAACAGCGCACTCGATTATTCTGAAATAGCAGAGAAAGAAAAAAAACTTTAGGCTATAAAATAATTTTTTTTGAAACGTTTTGTGCAAGATTTTGTTCTATTTTTTGTTGTATATAATATAATATTCAAACTCAAACCATTCAATGTGTCGACCAAATTCACATAACGTATTTCGTCCCATATTTTATTCGTACCGGTTCTCCTTCATCATTGGTATGTTGAATCGTCTTGATACGACATAATGTCATTTAAAAAATAAGAACGAGGCAGTCAAATACCATAAGCCGAGAGAAAACTCAATTTTCAAAAAAGACAAAAAATCATTAATCAAGCCACCGAAAACTGAAGAGTATGGCAGCATTAACTCACCAAAAACAAAGAAATAACTCGTGTGCTTCGGTCAGGAAGGATAAACGCTTGTAGTTCCAATTGTGACCCCAATCGTTCACGAAAAGTAGAGACTTGGTGATGTATATAGTGTAGATGTTAACTTATGGGCTTACGATTTATAGTCAAACGTGTGTACTATATGTTCTACTAGGTTCATTGAGTGTGTAGGGAAAGGTAGAATCATTGGTTAGCTTGCTTGTTAGCTGAACCTTGAAGTCATTATTAGGTAAGTTATACTATCCTCCTTTCGAAGTAGTCTAGTCTTATAGACAAATAAATTGGTTATATGTCGGACTAATCTACTCTTAAAGGAGGGTAGTTTGCCTAACCTAATAATGACTTCATGGTTCAGCTAACAAGCAAGCTAACCAAGGATTCTACCTTTCCGTACACACTCAATGAAATCGGCTGTAAATGATATAAAAATACCAATGATCTTCCATCAATACCAAACCTAACTGACAGTTCTCTGATTTGAGACTGATACATTGATGGTGGCGAAGTAGTTTTTCTAGTTTTCACCCCTCCCCCTTTTTTCCCTTTCCTTATAACGTCGAAACGAAGAATAAAAAGATGCATAAATTAAGTACAAAGGAAAAAACACACAAACTTATGATATTAGTATTCTGAGAACAAAAACATGCAGGCACAATTCAAATCATTTCAAAGAAAACTCGAAGTGCTCTTGTAGAATTCATTGAAGTCGTTATGTTGAGAATTATTGGCCCTCTCTATGAACAGATTTGAAACCAACACTGAGAATAAACCCACATTATCTTGTTTTCTGTCTGTAATATCGGTATCATTGCTTTCATTAACCATTTACATTCTATGAAAAAGTAAAAAGAATAGATATGGTGTATTAAATTCCTGGCACGAAATCCCCTCCTGCACCTGATAACCTCCCCCAGGGGATCCAGAAGCTCTATGAAGGGGTGGAGCACCATCGAAACTTTTCCGGAGTTGTACAGATATGTGACTATGCTCACGGAGAGATGACAAGGAAGGGGGTCAATCATTTCTTTGTTCTGCATTCTTCAATTTTCAAGCCATTTTTCTCTATAATAGTTTTTTTTATATTTTAGCACCCCTGTATTTCTATGACCTTTATATTTTAGTACCTCTTAATTTTCTATTCTTTAATTGGTAATTGAAACAAGAAAGATATACATACATGTATATGCTATATTCAATAAGTCTTAAATAAATGCAATACCGTTGTATTAATGATATCTTTTATGATAGCATTCATCTTTTGTGGGGCATGCATTTTTTTATTTTAAATTGTTGGTTTTCATAAACAATAGGGGAAATCAGTAATAGATATGACATTGAGTTTCAAAGAAGTCGACAAAATGTTTGTCCCGAGAACACCAAACATCCAACAAACACAAATGATTAGTGTTCGGTGCCGAAGTCAACTTCTGCAAGAATGTAAGACAGCATTTTTTTTTAGAACTCTCCTTGTATACACTGTTTAACTACCTCCTTTGTCTCATCTTTGTTTAGTTTGAGATCATTCTTCTGTCAGTTATCACGATGAGCGTTTTTTTTTATAACTGATATTGGATTAAAAACCAATAAAAAATATTCGTATTCGTTTTATAATCAGCTGTGCATGATGTTAATAAAAGCTTTTTGAAAAAAAAGATATAACTTATAGTTGTCAATATTTGAACCTATGAAAGGGTTACCTGGACCGTGTGAAAACAAACCCCTGTTGAGTAAGCATTTAAAATTTGACTCCGTCAACAAAAGCCGGACTGTTATTGCAACAAGATTAACAAGGTTACCATGAAACGGACCATTCCCTCGCAACTAAAAATAGGGATGTAGATCTTCCCAATATTTTGTGTATACATCAAGTGTGATGGAGATCGATTGAGAAACACGAGCTCTACAATGTCTATAAGGGTGTTACGGATGCCTTACGAAAAGGTAGTCCAGTTACAATATCCCCTCCGCAACTTTGTTTAGCAGGGAAATAAAATGTAGAGACAGGAAAAGGTATTTCAAAAACGAGTGAATGGCTATTGGCAGGCGGTGTAGTCTTTCCTGGAAGACTCGCACATCTAAATATTTATAATCTTATATTTTCCAAAACTATTATTTATACTTTTGCACCCCATCACCATTCTCGTATTTTTTTTCTTTTTTTTTTCTTCTTTTTTGCTCGTTTTTCTCTATTCATTGTATTATTTGGCCATTATTATCTTATATGTAAACTGCATACAGACTCTCATATCATGATATATGAGTTCGGTAATATGTAAAATGACCGTTTTATGGCCGGTGACGATGCTACTTACAGTAAGTCAATATCTACATAATAATAATAATTCTTAACTTCAACATGTTGAAGATTACAAGAAGGCACATACTAGGGGAACAAATTTAAAATCTAAACATATTTACAATAATTTCAAAATATTTTTTTTAATTTTTTTTTTTTTTTGATATACAATGTATATAGATAAAAACATGATTTTGATCTAGCAATATATATGTGATTTTGCACCAGACTTAAATGCTTCCAAGTCTGGGCTACAAGCTACTTGGTATGGTACGGAATTCCAATACCTTATTGTTCTGGGAAAAAATGAATATAAATGGGAATTTGTGGGAGAGAATGGTTGTTCAAACTTATGTTCTTTTGATGGTATCATGGAAGTAATATTTAAAAGGAATAACAACGACTAATTAGCATGTATTAACAGCCTGCAGAGCTCTGTACTAAAGTCATATGATTTTATCCAATTATAGTCTCAGCGGCAAGACCCCTTTGGTTACTATCTGTGATACCGCGGTTGTAAAATGGCATCTGGAATTTCTTATCAGTCACGTGATTTTATCGAGTCCGGTAATTATAAAGCACCTGTGTGAAATCCGAGGTTAATTAATAAGAAGGTGGCGCTGTATCATATAAAACCTCTACCTTCAGAAAGAAGTCGTATGATGTAAAAAACTTGAAAAACGGACGAGAATTGTTCAACCTACAACAGTTTAGCATGGAAAATTGTATTTAATTTAGCATATTTTTGCTTTTTACAGTTTGTTTTAAACTGTTCTAAAAGTATTTTCCGGTTAAAAGCGGATCCCGAGTAAAACAGTTAAATACCGATGAATCGATCAGGTTTCCCATGATGTTGAACAAAATAATGTAGACAGATGTAGACATAGAATATTTTACTGTTGAAATGTGCCAAGTTTATCGAGATTTATAAAAATATTTACTTTCAAGTAATTGATTACGTTATTGAAACTGGACAATTAAAATCGGGATCATAAGTTCGTAAACATGTTAAATTTATATCTATTTTAAAAAAAGTGTTTACAACTGAATACTAATATTAATGTAGCACGTTACAGCAAAAAGAAAATCAACCATACAAAACGAGCTTGACGCTATCTGTCTAACCGCAAATTGATTTTATATGAATTTGTTTATGTACAAATTAAAGAATAGAAACGTTTAAAATTGTGAATATTTAATTTGCCTGGTATACACGGAAGACTTGGATTATTCGTATTTAATAAAAGGTCGTTGAAACATATTTTTTGTACAATCATCTTCTTAACTTTCAGAAATGGCTTCTTAATTAACTGGTTTTAAGTATTAAAATTGAAAATGATCCACCCTTTTTCTTAAATTCAATATGTGATAACTGTCGGTCTAAACTATTCAGATCGAAAAAGACATAAATAGGAAAAATAGACTAAAATCAACATTGAATGACCGACTCTATTCGGTAGCGTACAGCAGCGGAATGTAACGAGTGAACTATTCGGGTTACTTCGTACGTACATACGACAACAACTGGTCTATTCGTAATTTTCCGGGAACACGAAAATGACCGAAAAGTGTCAGTGATTTGATCTATCACATGCCGAGAGTCAATTACCATGCCATATATTAAACCAATTAACGAGTTATCGAAAGATGGGCGGTAACGCAGATGAAACCTTTGAAGTGACGACGTTGTTATTCCTTTCAATATTACTTCCATGATGGTATTAAGTATTGTTTATTTGAGATGGATACTAATTGGTGTTGAATTTTGTATAGCATGGTGACTGATGCGAGATTTCTTCTTTGTTGTAGTGTCGGCCAGCTTAGATGCAAGCATGGCTGTTACACTGCTTTGGTAGCTGTATTGATTCAAGTGTATACCTGGCAGCTATTCTCTGGATCATTTCAATTTTATGTATTTGTTGTTTCTGTCAGGGGTCCCAGACAACACTACAATATTCTATTTTTGGTCTGACATATGTTTTGTAAGCAAGTTCTTTTGTTTTTATGCTGTTGGTTTTTACATTTCTTTTAATAAATCTCAGTGATGTATTTGCTTTATTTGTGATGTTATATATATGTGAATTCCATGTCAGATCGTTTGTGATGGTAACGCCAAGATACTTAGCTTTGTCTGTTGATTTTAATATATGATCATGTAGTGTGTATTTAAAGATGATTAAGTTCAGATTTACTACATATCTATTCCTCTATAAATATCAATGAATATATACTGATGTTTAAAATTTAAAATCCTTAGGGAGTGCTCCTTAAATAGGTAATATACCAGTAACAGTATCAGTATGGTGCATGGGGGCGAATATATGTATATCTCTTCAGGGTACGAGAAAGTAGGCGTCTGTTTAATAACATTACAAGTACAAAATGTCGGATTGTTTTCATTTTGATTGTTGAGGAAATTTTCATGTTCACTGATTTTTGCACACCATTGTCCGATATATGCAAGTATTTTTAATATATTGGACACTGTTTTTCGTATTTGAATAATGTCAAGGCGATTATGTAGCACTCAAACTTGAAAATATTGTTGAAGGGTACCGGTCGGCCCCTGTTCACCAACTAATTACATGTATTTCTGAACTCTACGCTTCTTGTGCGATGGTTATACGAAATAGCATGCTTTTTAAAAAGTTTTTAACATGAATTCAACATTGATCTAATACGGAGCTCATTAATTAGTTACCGGCAGAAAGATTCATCCTATCAAATGCCAAAATTATGGACATAACTAATGCTGTGTTTACACCAAAAAATTTACTCTAGTACAGACAACCCTGTGCTGTTGGAAATGTGATTAGGCCTAGCATTTACTAGATATATAGAAAATGAAAGTTTTAAGTATATATCAAGTGATGCTAGACCTTAAAATTTTCCAACTGCACAGGTTTGTATTTGACATGTTTGAGCAATTTTCGAGGTGTACATGTAAACAGAATCTGTGTCCGTTTTTCCCCGATTCATGTTTGCCCTAGTACATGTACCTGTTCGCCCATGGTCCATTCCCCCTGATTTTTTTTTTTTTTTATTGTTGTCTTAGTTGCATAATGTTTTTTATTTGAACAGAGTATGTTAAAGTTGGTTGAAAAATTAGCCGAATATTTGTATTGCTGCAACCAAATAATTATTTTCCTTTGATTCACATAGTAGAATACTGGAATACAATGTATTCATCTTTATTGATATTTGTTAACAATTTTAATAATTCTAGTCAGTCAATTTATGCAGTATAATAATAAATGAACTTATAAATCCTTTTCATGTTTTACAATTCGTACATCCTTCTCTTTACTCATTCAAAGCTGACTAGTTTATCAAAACAAAATGTTGATTATATTATTAATTCATCAAAGACAATTATTACAGTAATCATTGAGAATTATTATGAACAATTAATGCTCAAAAACACGCCATCAATTTTAAATATTTCCATGCGTTTTCATGAATTTCAAGAATTTGTACCATATATATATATATCTGAATAAGTTTATTAAACTAAAATACCTTAATATTAATATTTTTTAATAAAAGCAGGGAGAACTAACCCAGGGCAAATGGACTATATGGGCGAACGGACCCGATACCGTGTAAACACAGCCATCTTTGTCCATTTGTTATCATGAACCTAATTCAGTGGCAGATTTAAGGGGGGGCACGTGCCCCTCAGTTGGGGTCACCAAAAAATTTTGTAACATAATTTTATTGACACTGAATCTGCTTAATTAGCATGATTAGAGTGGAAATTAAGTCACAGCTTGATTAATATTTGACTTCGGAAACTGGCCGTTAATTAACCTGAGCTTCAACATGTGTCATTTATGACAACTTATCGATGGGTGTGTAAATATTGACACCTGTGTGTAATGTCTATATCAAACAGCATTTATGTAAACTACATGTACATGCTGATTGGAATACAAATATTTTTATTGGTTTTCTGGGGGGTTCATTTTTTTCTTTTTTTGAAATCTTCAATTGCACATTATTGCACATAGCAAGAAATCTTCAGTTGCACAGTATTACGCAATAGCACAGTATTGTACAATAGCACAGCATTGGGCAAAAGCAAGAAATCTTCAATTGCATAGTATTGCCCAATAGCACAGTATTGCACATTAGCACAGTATTGCGCAATAGCAAGAAATCTTCAATTGTACAGTATTATGCAATATCACAATATTACGCAATAGCAAGAAATCTTCAGTTCCACAGTATTGCGCAATAGCACAGTATTGTACAATAGCACAGTATTGGGCAAAAGCAAGAAATCTTCAATTGCATAGTATTTCCCAATAGCACAGTTTTACACATTAGCACAGTATTGCGCAATAGCAAGAAATCTTCAATTGCACAGTGTTGTGCAATAGAACAGTATTGTGCACTATCACAGTATTACGCAATAGCAAGAAATCTTCAATTGCACAGTATTGCGCAATAGCAAGAAATCTTCAATTGCACAATATTGGGCAATAGCACAGTATTGCACAATAGCAAGAAATCTTCAATTGCACAGTATTGCGCAATAGCAAGAAATCTTCAATTGAAAACAAATGCAAATGTTTTACCCAATTTTGATGGGATTAATTAAGTCTTTAATTTTTGGGGGTTCTAACCTTGTATATTTTTTTGGGATATTGGGCCCAATTTTTAAATTGGTCTACATTGAGGTCAAAAGGGTCCAAAATTAAACTTTGTTTGATTTCATCAAAAACTGAATTATTGCTGCTGTATGATTTGCTGAATCTTATTGTGCATTTAGATTTTTATACGACCGCAAAAAAATTTTTGTGGTCGTATATTGGTATGACGTTGGCGTCGTCGACGTCGTCGTCCGAAGACACATTAGTTTTTGCACTCTAACTTTAGTTTAAGTGAATGGATCTCTGTGAAATTTTACCATAAGGTTCAATACCACAAAAGGAAGGTGGGGATTGATTTTGGGGGTTATGGTACCAACAGTTAAGGAATTAGGGGCCAAAAAGGGGCCAAAAATAAGCATTTTTTAGTTTCCAGACAATAACTGTGGAAGGGTGTATGGATCTCTCTGAAATTATACTACAAGTTTCCATACCACAAAGGGATGGTTAGGATTTGCTTTGGGGGGTTATGGCTCAAACCGTTTAAGAATTAGGGGCAAAAAAGGGGGGAAAACAAGGTTGTCCTGGTTAATGGACAAATACTTTAGTACAAAACATAATTTAAAGCAGTGTAAGGGAGATAAATCAAATACATCATTGAAATTATCTCCCTTACACTGCTTTTAAATTATGTATAAAGTAATGGTTATGAACAATTAAGATAATTTAAAACAGTGTAAGGGAGGTAATCCAAATACAACGTTTTGGTTACTTCCCTTACACTGCTTTTAAATTATGTTTAAAGAAATGCATATTTATAAAGGAAGACCAGTAAAAATATCTGCAAATGTTGCATCTTTTTTTTTACAAAAAAATCCATTTGAAAGATTTGACACTATATTTTAAATTCTATTATAAAATTGATTAAGTTAGCACTATGGTAAATTTAAATGGGTAATTATGGTTGCAAATTCCATTGGAAATTTGAATTGAGATTATGACCATATCTTGAGGGAAAGAATTTTTTGGGGGAAAAAAAGGGGGGGGGGGGGGGGGGGTAAAAAGAAATTGTGGGAGGTCAATTTTTTCTCATTTCAGATTTCAGAAATTAAAAAGAATTATTCTTCAAATATTATTTTTTTTTCAAATTTCAAATATTGAAAAATTTCAAGAAGTAATCTTTAATTGCACAGTATGGCGCATTAGATTTGTAAAATCTTTGACCACATTTATTTATTTGTTATGCCGAATCTAACCGTGTATTTAGATTTTTAATTTTGGGTCCAGTTTTCAAATTGGTCTACATTAAGGTCCAAAGGGTCCAAAATTAAGCTTTGTTTGATTTTAACAAAAATTGAATATATGGGGTTCTTTGATATGCTGAATCTAAACATGTTTTTAGATTTTTGATTTTGGGCCCAGTTTTCAAGTTGGTCCAAATTGGGGTCCAAAATTAAACTATGTTTGATTCCAACAAAAATTGAATATGTGGGGTTCTTTGATATGCTGAATCTAACCATGTATTTAGATTTTTTATTTGTGGACCCCGCTATCAAATTGGTTCATATTGAGGTCAAAAGGGTCCAAAATTAAACTTTGTTTGATTTCATAAAAAATTGAAATATTGGGGTTCTTTGATATGCCAAATCTAACCGTGTATTTAGATTTTTAATTTTGGGTCCCGTTTTTTAAATTGGTCTACATTAAGGTCCAAAGGGTCTAAAATTAAACTTAGTTTGATTTTAACAAAAATTGAATTCTTGGGGTACTTTGATATGCTGAATCTAAACATGTGTTTAGATTTTTGATTATGGGCCCAGTTTTCAAGTTAGGGTCCAAAATTAAACTTTGTTTGATTTCAACAAAAATTGAATATATGGGGTTCTTTGATATGCTGAATCTTACCATGTATTTAGATTTTTTATTTGTGGGCCCGCTATCAAATTGGTTCATATTGAGGTCAAAAGGGTCCAAAATTAAACTTTGTTTGATTTCATCAAAAATTGAATTATTGGGGTTCCTTGATATGCCAAATCTAACTGTGTTTTTAGATTTTTAATTTTGGGTCCCGTTTTTTAAATTGGTCTACATTAAGGTCCAAAGGGTCCAAAATTAAACTTAGTTTGATTTTAACAAAAATTGAATTCTTGGGGTACTTTGATATGCTGAATCTAAACATGTGTTTAGATTTTTGATTATGGGCCCAGTTTTCAAGTTGGTCCAAGTTGGGGTCCAAAATTAAACTTGTTTGATTTCAACAAAAATTGAATATATGGGGTTCTTTGATATGCTGAATCTAAACATTTATTTAGATTTTAGATTTTTGGTCCAGTTTTCAAGTTGGTCCAAATTGGGGTCCAAAATTAAAGTTTGTTTGATTTCAACAAAAATTGAATATATGGGGTTCTTTAATATGCTGAATCTTACCATGTATTTAGATTTTTTATTTGTGGGCCCGCTATCAAATTGGTTCATATTGAGGTCAAAAGGGTCCAAAATTAAACTTTGTTTGATTTCATCAAAAATTGAATTATTGGGGTTCTTTGATATGCCAAACCTAACCGTGTTTTTAGATTTTTAATTTTGGGTCCCGTTTTTTAAATTGGTCTACATTAAGGTCCAAAGGGTCCAAAATTAAACTTAGTTTGATTTTAACAAAAATTGAATTCTTGTGGTTCTTTGATATGCTGAATCTAAACATGTGTTTAGATTTTTGATTATGGGACCAGTTTTCAAGTTGGTCCAAGTTAGGGTCCAAAATTAAACTTTTTTTTTTTGTTTGATTTCAACAAAAATTGAATATATGGGGTTCTTTGATATGCTGAATCTAACCATGTATTTTGATTTTGGACATTGGACCATGATAGGTAAATTAAAAAAATTAAAGTTCTTAGACCAGATTCTTTCTGTGTCAGAAACCTATGCTGTGTCAAATATTTAATCATAATCCAAATTCAGAGCTGTATCAAGCTTGAATGTTGTGTCCATACTTGCCCCAACTGTTCAGGGTTCGACCTCTGCAGTCGTATCAAGCTGCGCCCAGCAAAGCATTTTATTCTTTTTGACCCTGTTTTCAAATTAGTTCATATTAAGGTTTGAAGGGTCCAAAATTAAACTTTGTTTGATTTCAACTAAAATTAAATTTTTTGGTGTTTTTTTATATGCTGAATCTAACCATGTTGTTAGATTTTGGATATCAGACTATTCTAGGTAAATTAAATGTCCCATTTCAAATTTTTAAGATCTTTGACCACATTTATTTTGTGTCAGAAACCTATATTATGTCAAAAATTTGATCACAATCCAAATTCAGACAGTATCAAGCTTGAATATTGTGTCCAAACTTGCCCCAAATGTTCAGGGTTGGACCTCTGCGGTCATATCAGGCTGCGCTCAGCGAAGCATTTTTTTACCTGTGCTTTTAATTCACACAGCGAATGAGTGATCACAAGCTCAGAACTAATATTATAAAGAAATTAAAATTCAATGACAACTTTCTTCATTATTTAATTACTTTGCAGCAAAGACTATCAACAATTCTGATTTAGAATTAAAACTTGACTTAATTTACGTTGAAAAAAGTAATTTTTCACGAGTCAAACGTTCAACTGTATGCTTTATTTACTATGTAATATGCATTTATGAAATTGTCTTCACCAGATTAGACACTTCATCGTAAAATGCAAAATGATTTCATGCTAAATTATTATCTGTTATATTCAAACATATTTATAGCTAAGAAAATTATAAACCCTGTGATTTCCTTTCAATTTAATAAACAGAACGAATCCTAGAAATGAATCAGGAATTACTTGTATTTTAGTATTGTCATGAAACTTCCGGTTTTATTTCTTCTTCAAAATCGAAAGAAACGTTAGCAATGAGGAACTTACCATTTGAGTCATTAAAATCATTTCAATTTAAACTGTTGCATTCCATTAACTGTTCTTGAAAGTTTTTAGAAAAAGGGAAAGAAAATTCATGAAGTAAATGCGATGAAACAGTCAACACAAGTTCGTTGATGCTTTGAATCTAGTGTGGATAATTTAGACAGTTTGAAAAAAGGGGGTTTTAAGTCATTTCAAAATGACCGAAATTGCGTTAAAAAATTTCCGGATCCTTGGTAACTTGTTACTGGTTACATTCACTGTTTAGATTATCACAATAGTTGCAGAAATTATTAATAAACTAATGTTTCAACTCCCTCGGGCAACCATTCAGCTTCGAGTAATCCTGATGAACATCATGAAGGTAAATCCAGAAATGTGCTTCGGATGCATGAAATTTATAAAGTGTTGTTTTCATTTTTTTAAAGGCATCAGTTTGACTTTGAGATGAAGAATAGCAATAAAGAAGCTGTTCCTTTGCTTTGAGTATCAGTTGTGTGTAGCTATTGATAGATCATATACATTATGTACACATGTATCCCTTGTTTTTAATTAGATATATAATACTTTAATTTTCCCCACCCAAACAAAACCAGGACCGTGATAAATGATGTATATGTTTGACTAAAATATGTAGCAAAACTGTAAATTAATTATTTGAATATTTAAAACAAGCAACAAGGGCTTAACTGAGTCTGACAACACACAAGAAGAAATGAGTACATTCAAAAAGTACCTACCACCTTGTATGATTAATTACTTTGAAAATTGCATTATTTTCTGAAAAATGTTAACACCAATATGTTATTGTATTAAAAAATTACATGTATGACGGTATGAATAATTATTTACTTCAGAATTAGGATGACATAATGTGTGACCACAGACATTTACGTTCTCCAACACCGGCTGGTATAGTAGATCATGTGTCATCTTTATCTGAAAATCTTGGTGAATTGGTAGATAGTGCTGATTACAGTGATATTACATTAATCGTCGAGGATGACAAGTTCCAGTCACATAAAGTTATATTGGCTGCCAGGTCTGACTATTTCAGGTAAGAGGTCATACCTGTCTGCCATAAAGTTATATTGGCTGCCAGGGTTGACTACTTCATGTAAGAGGTCGTACCTGTCTGACATAAAGTTATATTGGATGCCAGGTCAGACTATTTCAGGTAAGAGGTCATACCTGTCTGACATAAAGTTATATTGGCTGCCAGGTCTGACTATTTCAGGTAAGAGGTCATACCTGTCTGACATAAACATGATAAATTTATACCGGCTGCCAGGTCTGAATATTTCAGATTAGAGGTCATACCAGTAACCTGTCTGGTATTTTAAAGACTGATATCACCGCTAGACATACATGACTAGTCAACACTAATAGTTGGTTATATCATTGTTTTAAGGGTCGTCTGGCTAAACTTTGCTTTTCTTATGAGTTATCATTCTTGAAGTGACAGTCTCGTACATGTATGCATAAAGCAAAATAGAACAGTGTTCTGCAGACATAAAAAAATCTCCTGCCTCTGATAAGAAAGTTTATGACAAAATATTATTACTTTATAATATAAAAGCTTTGATCTTGAGATTAAAGTCATATGATTCTTTAGAACTAACAAAAAATTTGAATATGTTTTATATTCTTGAATGGCTAAGTTTTACTACAAAACATGTGTACATAGACCTTCTTTTAAAAGAAAATCCTTTATTTTATCCAAATCTTTTAAAATGCACTGCTATTCATTGTGAAGCAAAAACATTGCAAAGGGATAAAAGATACATTTTGGTTGTTTGCTGTCTCTATAACATATGCCCGCTATTTTATGTTATTCATATGACAATATACTATTTCTGTTAACAGTCAATCATGAAATACTTCTGTCTACAGGATGCAGGCAATAACACATGTAAAGAAATATTTAAAATGTTACATGAATTTGAAATTAAAAGAAACACAGTGAGAGTTAGACGATAGTCTTAAAATAAATTTTGTGTGACATAATTTCTATTTATGTTTTCAGAGCATTGCTCTTTGGAGGTATGAGAGAATCTCAGCCTGGTACAACAGAGATTGAGTTAAAAGATACATCATCTACAGCATTCAGTGTATTGCTGAAGTATATTTATACAGGCAGGATAAATCTACTGGAAATTAAGGTAAGTGCTGCTATGAGATGAAGACTAGGAAACTTCTGATGTGACAAGTCTAAACTTTTTATACGCCCGTTTATGGGACGTATTATTGTATACCGTTGACCGTCTGTCCGTCCGTCTGTCATCAACATGTCAGACATTAATTCAAAAACGCTTTAACCAATATGCATGAAACTTTAGTGAATTGTTTACATCTATTAATGTGAGCTCCCTTTCGTTTTTTATACTTTTAGGATTTACAATTTCCGATTTTTGGGGTTTTATTCATTAAAAAAGGGGGGATTTTCCAGTTTTCGGACAATAACTCAAAAAGAATTTCACCAATTTGCATGAAACTTTTGTGAATTGTTCATATCTATTGACGTGAACTCCCTTTCGATTTTTGTAATTTTAGGATGTACCGTTTCCGAGTTTTGGGGTTTTATTTATTAAAAAAGGGGTGATTTTCCAGTTTTCAGACAATGACTCAAAAACAATTTCACCAATTTGCAAGAAACTTTGGTGAATTTTTTTATTTCTATCGACATGAGCTCCCTTTTGATTTTTATAAATTTCAAACTATACGTTTCTGATTTATGGGGTTTTATTCATTACAAAAAGGGGGATTTTCCAGTTTTCGGACAATAGCTCAAAAATGCTGAATTTTTTATGAAACTTTGGTAAATTGTTTATATCTATTTTTGTAAGCTCCCTTTTGATTTTTATAAATTTTCGATTTTATGTTTCCGAGTTATAAGATTTTATTTGTTTATAGTCTGACAACAGATTTACTAAGTATTACGCAACAGCAGAGCTTCCAAAACGGTCGTATTTTCCGGACATGACCGATAAATTATAAATATGACTTGTTGTGCCAAACCTGAAATGGACATTTAACGTAGATTTGCCATTTTAACATAATTCAGAAAAAAATTAAAGTTTTGCGATCTTTTTGACCCGACCTTTTGCCTTAAACAGCCACATTTCCAGTCATAAAAGTGACATGGTGAATAAGTACTATCAAAACAAATCCTACTTTAATACCCTCTCATTACAATCAAGGTTAATTAGTTGTCAGACAGTTGAAATTTACCTGTTCAGGTAACAGGTAAACTAATATGTACCGGACATTGATCGGTCTATTTGAAGTTATTTTTATAAATTTCAGCGGTTTGCATCTAATTAGTTTAATCAAAAAGATTTAAATTATCAAAAATATGTATATAAATATGATTTGATGAAAATTTTTAAAAGGTAGTTATAAAGATTTTAAGTGAAAAAATCGTCAGGACCACGTTGTTTGAACAAAGTACATGCGTGCGCATGTGCGCAGTTGTGAGATTTAATTATGCATCCAAATTCTTCAAAAATACTAAAATTGTCATTGATACCTTTATCTAACGTTTATTTCAAGTATTTTCTTAAAGAAATAATGTTGGAAGAAGCTACTTAAACTCGATTGTGCTTTTTAAATGTACACAGATTTTTCGTATCCTTCTCTGGTCCGTGTTTTACCATTGTTAAGTCAACATCCGGTATGAGGAAATGTACCTTCAAAAACTAAAGTAAAGATTTTGACAGGGATGATTTTGCACAAATAAAGATTCTAAGGCAGATATTAGTACGCTAATGATGCACACTTCTAATGATGCACTGTCAATTTAACAGTTTACGTCAGTACAGCGAATTTGTATCAAAAGTCAAGTTTAATATCGTTTTTAGGTCAATCATTCATTGTTTATATGATGCCCAACTGATTATCATGATTGCCTTTTGTTACGTAGTCTTAAGGGATCAAAATCGGGATAAGACAAAAAATGTCTAGCTAGCACAAATATTTTTTGGAAGCCCTGCGCAACAGCACAGTGTATTGCACAACAGCAAGAAATCTTTCATATAACCAATTTCAAGTTCTTTGACTACATTTATTCAGAAACCTATAATATACCAAATGTTTAATTACAATCCAAATTCAGACCTGTATCAAGCTTGAATATTGTGTCCATTTTTGCGCCAACTGTTCAGGGTTGGACCTCTGCGGGCGTATCCAGCTGTGCTCAGACTCAATCTTTTTCTGAATTTTTAAGTCAGATTATACTGGTCAGAAGTGATTTCTGTGATGATATTAAATGAAGAGTAGGGAACTACTGAAGTGATTAATCTAAACTTTTTCCCCTCAGATTCATGCAAAGAATCTCTTTTAGAATTTTTAAAATAGATTTTACTGGTCTAAAGTGATCTTTTCAGGTCTGGTACTATTTTTATATGGCAGAACTATTTGACCTGTTCTTGATAACAATTTTTATGGTTTTTGGTTTTGATGTCAGACTTTACACATAACAAATCAGTGAAAAAATGTTTTTGTTTGTATCAAAATACATGAATTTGATAACTGTTAAATCAATCAAAATTTTTAAAGTGATTTTGAAGACAGATTTATAGCATGTTTCATTTTTTGGTATCGATAACATTTTGCCTTTTATCTTTATGACACTGGGGACCATTGGCTTTGTCCATTCTGTGCACTTTCCCACCATGAACGAGTGAAATGACATCAGCTGTAGTGTATGACCATTTAACAATATAATGAAAGCCATGACAGCATTCTCTAGTATTTAAGCTAGTCCTCACAAACTGGCTATGATGTGATATTTTTAGGCCACTGCTGTAGCGGAGGGGGCATTAAGTTTTACCCTTGTCTGTACGTACGTACATATGTTCGTCCGTACGTACGTCCCAAAGTTGGTTTCCGTTCTCTAACTTTAGTTTGCTTCAACCAAATGTTATAAAACTTATACACAATGCTTATTACCACAAAACACAGATCAAGTTTGAATTTTGGTGGCGTCACATTTACCGTTGCTGAGTTATGCCCCTTTACAAATGAAAAAAATGCTGAATTTTTTGTTTACGTTTTCTAACATTAGTTTGCCTCAACCAAATGTTATTAAACTTATACACAATGCTTATTACCACAAAATACAGATCAAGTTTGAATTTTGGTTGTGTCACTTCAACCGTTCTAGAGTTATGCTCCATTACAAATGGAAAAATAGGAATCTAATATCTGTTCTAAAACTATCAATGATGTAATTGTTAGAATTAATTTTTATACGACCGCGGTCGTATATTGGTATGTCGTTGTCGTTGTCCGAAGACAGATTGGTTTTCGCACTCTAACTTTAGTTTAAGTGAATGGATCTCTATGAAATTTTACCATAAGGTTCAATACCACAAAAGGAAGATTGGGATTGATTTTGGGGGTTATGGTACCAACAGTTAAGGAATTAGGGGCCAAAAATAAGCATTTTTATAACTTCCTGACATAACTTGTGTGTTAGTGTATGGATCTCTCTGACATTGTACCACAAGGTTCCATATCACACAGGGAATGTTGAGATTGATTTTGGGGGTAATTGCCTCAAAATATTAGGAATAAGGGGCCAAAAAAGGGGCAAAAAACAAGCATTTTTCTAGTTTCATGACAATAACTTGTGTGTAAGTGTATGGATCTTTCTGAAATTGTACTGCAAGGTTCCATATCATAAAGGGAAAGCTGTAATTGAGTTTGGGGGTAATTGCCCAAAACGTTAGGAATAAGGGGCCAAAAAGGGGCCAAAAATAAGCATTTTTCTAGTTTCCAGACAATAACTTGTGTTCAAGTGTATGGATCTCTCTGACATTGTACCGCAAGGTTCCATATCACAAAGGGAATGCTGGGATTGATTCTGGGGGTAATTGCCTCAAAATTTTAGGAATTAGGGGCCAAAAAAGGGGCAAAAAACAAGCATTTTTCTAGTTTCCAGACAATAACTTGTGTGTAAGTTTATGGATCTTTCTGAAATTGTACTACAAGGTTCCATATCACAAAGGGAAAACTGGAATTGAGTTTGGGGGTAATTGCCCAAAGTGTTTAGGAATAAGGGGCCAAAAAGGGGCCAAAAATAAGCATTTTTCTAGTTTCCAGACAATAACTTGTGTTCAAGTGTATGGATCTCTCTGAAATTGTACTGCAACGTACCATACCACAAAGGGAAGGCTGGGATTGATTTTGGGGGTAATGGCTTCAAAATTTTAGGAATTAGGGGCCAAAAAAGGGGCAAAAAACAAGCATTTTTCTAGTTTCAGGACAATAACTTGTGTGTAAGTGTATGGATCTTTATGAAATTGTACTGCAAGGTTCCATATCACAAAGGGAAAGCTGGGTTTAAGTTGGGGGGTAATTGTCCTAAACGTTTAGGAATTTGGGGCCAAAAAGGGGCCAAAAAACAAGCACTTTTCTAGTTTCCAGACAATAACTTGTGTTCAAGTGTATGGATCTCTCTGAAATTGTACTGCAGGTACCATACCACAAAGGGAAGGCTGGGATTGAGTTTGGTGGTGATGAATCATAAGGGGGTTCAAAAAATTTGGGGGGGATATTTTTTTCTTTAAAACTTTCCATTTTAAATTGGTTATTTCTGATTTATATATAAAAGCAAATAATAATGATATGGTTTGAATAGGAAAATTAAAAAATTTTAAGTTCTTAGACCACATTCATTCTGTGTCAGAAACCTGTGCTGTGTCAAATATTTAATCACAATCCAAATTCAGTGCTGTATCAAGCTTGAATGTTGTGTCCATACTTGCCCCAACTGTTCAGGGTTCGACCTCTGCGGTCGTATCAAGCTGCGCCCAGCGGAGCATTTTATTAAAATTGGAGTTATCTTCCTTTGTCCATAATTGAGGTTGAATCAACTACAATTATGGACAAAGGAAGATAACTCCAATTTTAAAAATTAATTTTAACCAACTACAATTATGGAAAAAGGAAGATAACTCCAATTTTAATTCTTACTTAAGTTGCCTCAACCAAATGTTATGAAACTTATACACAATGCTTATTACCACTTCTTGAGTTATATCCCTTTATAATGTTGTATGCAAGCGGGTGCATCATCTGTGTCCATGGGGACACATTCTCCATTTATTTGTCTCTGTCTTCATATAGTAATCAATATTATACTATTTACATTGTATATATATTTATGTTTTACAGGAAGAAAATTTATTGGATATACTTGGTATGTCACATCGGTATGGATTTATGGAACTGGCTTCTTCCATCTCTGACTACTTGAAGGCTATCTTGAATATCAACAATGTTTGCCTGATTTATGACATTGCTAATATGTATTCTTTGATGTCCTTATGTCAAGTGTGTAAAGAATTTATTGACAGAAATGCCTTAGATATTCTTCACGGAGAAGCATTCCTTACTCTGTCACAGGTAAGGCTGGACTTACAGCTGTTTCAGTTTTCCACATCCTGACCGATACTTTGTGGTGGCATCAGTTTTATGATTTAAAAAAAAAGGTTGTGGAATTCAAGGGGAAAAAAATTAATAAAAAATCAGATATATTGAGACTAATGAAATAAAGTTTTGAGAGAGTTAGTACAATTTATTTAATTGTTTTATTAATATTATGTAATCATTTTTTTATTTTCTATATATGTTATATTATGTCTGTCACGAGAAATTTTGTATGTGGAATTATTAGATGATGGAAGTATTATTTAACAAAACTGTTGGTATCCTTATCAAATTGCTTTGACAGAAACTATGATTGGAATATTTTTTAACAAAACTGTTGTAACCCCATTAAATTGCTTCAATGGATGAAGATGGATGATGGTAAAACCTTAAAGAAAGTTCAACTTGATCAATATGAAATAAAGTAGATTGGCAGTAAAATAAACATTTTATTGCATTGAAGACCCATTGGTGGCCTTCGGCTGTTGTCTGCTCTATGGTCGGGTTGTTGTCTCTTTGACACATTCCCCATTTCCATTCTCAATTTTATTTATTAATCATGTTATTTATCCTAATTTTCAGGGTTCCGTAAAGGATTTGATTTGTAGAGATTCATTTTGTGCACCAGAAATAGAGATATTTAATGCGATTGTTCTTTGGGCAGACCACAATACAGGACAGGATCCTACCCCTATCTTAGATGCTATACGCTTGCCACTTATGAATATGCAAGAACTATTGAACAAAGTGAGACCTACAAAATTAGTCTCACCTGATTCTATCTTGGATGCCATCAAAGTTCAAACAGAATGTAGGAACATGGAACTGAAATATAGAGGACTTCTTGGTAATATAAAATAGTGATCACTAATTTTCGGTTTTAAAAGAAAATAACATCTATAGGTCACCATATGATCTTTAACATAGAGCCATGTCATAAAGTAATCTTGTTAAGCTCAAAAACAAAATGAAAGGCCTATTGATTTTGCATTAAATTAAAAAAAAATGTTTACTGTAGACAAAAATCAGTTCAGAATTTTAACTTTTGTTGATAAAACATAATAATATTGGTAGTGTTAGAAAGAATATCTATAAGATATAATCATTTAAACTTAGAAATCTTTTGGTATTTTGTGTTGTTGTGTAACTGTCTCATTAATGTATGCCAACATCTTTTATTTATGTTCAGATGATGTTACTATTCAATTGTTTTTGTCTATCTAAAATCCAAATAACTGAAATTTATATAGCCATGTCTAATAAGAACATTACATGTTTGTATTTCTTCTACAGTTGTTGATGACAATGTAGCTACAACAAGATTTGGAGCCCAAGTAATGAAAGGTGAGATGAAACAAGCCCTGTTAGATGGTGATAGCAGTAACTACGATTTAGACAGAGGTTTTACCAGACATCCTATAGATGATAACTATGAGGCAGGTGTTGTGATTAAACTGGCACAACCGTATATACTCAATACATTTAAATTGTTACTATGGGATCGAGATATGAGGTAAGTTGAGACAAACAGAGTGCCACTTCTTAATTATCTCCCTTTTGTTTCACTACGGTAATTTATGATAATTGCTGGTACAAGATATTTGTATAATTTTGCTCACTGCTAGTAGATAATAACTATTATTTTGCTTCACTACTGGTAGTTAATGACTGTATAATTTTCCTCATAAATAGTAGCAAATGACTATAATTTTGCTCACTATAGCTGGTAGTAAATAACTGTAAATTTTGATCACTACTGGTAGTAAATAACTGTATAATTAGTGAACAATCTACAACTGGTCAATTGTATGATTTTTTTTGTACAGTGTTCAGTTGTCAATAAATTTTATAATGCAGTATTACCATACATTTCAAAACTTTGAAAGCAAGGTTTAAAAAATAATTTGCATTGAAGACCCATTGCTGGCCTTGGGCTATTTTTCTGCTCTTTGGTCGGATTGTTGTCTCTTTGACACATTCCCCGTTTCCATTCTCAATTTTATTCTTTTTAATTTTTGCAGGTCTTACTCATATTTTATTGAAGTATCAATGGATGACAAGGACTATGAAAAAGTAATTGATCATACCAAGTTTCTGTGCAGATCATGGCAAATTCTTCATTTCCCTCCAAGGGTTGTCAGGTAAATGATTTATTAAGCAACTGTCTAAAGCTTGCGAATTTTTAAGAATGTACCAGTAGAAATATTAGCATAATTGTCAAGTCTCCAAATTTAATCTGCAGCCTCACATCATTTTTTCAACAAATTTCCCCTATTGACCAGTCTTCTGAAGGGAGGTCAGAATCTTACCATTTAGAAAAAAATTCAGTTTTTGCTCAAGCACTAGGAGCAGCTCTTGATTTACTATTCATGTCCTTCTGGTTTTCTTTCCAATTAAACAAGATTATTAAAAAAAAAACTCTAAAAAGGAAACATTTTTGTGGTTGATATTTGATAGATTTTCAAACAAAAACACTGAAAATGCAATGGATCTATTTATACAAACATCTTTAGATCATCTGTTTGCCTGAAAACTTATATTTTGGGCAGGGATATAATTATTGATATAACACTAGCTAATTGTACATCTTGTTAATTTTGTAGGTATGTAAGAGTTGTAGGAACACACAATACTGTCAATAGAGTGTTTCATTTGGTTGCCTTTGAAAGTCAATACACAAACAAACCTTTCCAGTTGGAACAAGGATTAATTGGTAAGTATTCACTTTGATTGATAACTGTTGATATTTGATACAGCAGTAAACTCAGATATTTTCCTCAAATAGGATGGAAATGGAATATAAAGGAGAAAAGATAATTGGTGTAATGTTAAATTTTCATCATTAGAAATGGTCACATTAAGAGTCTTATAGTTTTGTGTGCCATTCTTTTTACATGAACTCAGTGCCATTTAACAGTGCCATATAAATATGCTCGTGATTATTTCCATGTCATTTTGACATCACTGTTTAAATATTTATATCCCCACTCAATTGAAAGGGTGGGTACTGGTTGACTTCTGTTCTCTCTCTGCCACTCAATTTTTCAGCAACCAGAAGTCATAAATTTCAATCCGGTTATGCCATATCAAGACATATTTTCAGTTCCCTCAATGTAATAGTTCCTGTTAGCCATATACATATCTTTAAATGTCATGCATATATAAATGAAATTTTCATCACATTTCTTTGACTAGATCTTCACAGTTGACTCTTGTCAGTTACTATATTGTATTATATTAGAAAATATAATAAATATTCACCTATATATTTTAGTGCCATCAGATAATGTTGCAACAATAGCAGCTAGTGCCTGTGTAATAGAGGGAGTTAGTAGAAGTAGGAATGCTCTGATCAATGGAGATATCCGACATTATGACTGGGACTCTGGATACACATGTCATCAGTTAGGAAGTGGTGCTGTCATTGTTCAATTGGCACAGCCTTATATTGTTGATTCTATAAGGTAACTTGGTCACATTTGTTCATCAATAAGTAATAAATCTTAAATTGTTGAGTATTAATAGAGCAGGACTCTAATTCTCAGTAAGTGTTAATTTCCTTAGGATTCCTACTTTACAAGGGATAAAGCAAAAGGAAAAGTTTATGAGGACAAAAGAGAAGGATGGGAGTTATTTGCTGTCTCAGTTAGGTTGGACATACCTCTGTGAACATGTTATTTAATATACGCTTCTACTTAATTCGTCCTGAACATGCATGAAATATTTGTCACTGTACGTTAAGCAACCAACAATCAATCATTAACTGAAAGAAAAATGTAGATAACTGTAAAAACTGTTTTACAAACATAAAAACCCTTTTGTATTAATGTATTACATTAAATGGCTTGGTTAAGCATGCTATAATCCCCCTTTTAGGAGATAATGGTGCATTATACAGATAGGAGGTTTAAAAACCTTTAATAAAGATTAGGTTTTCACACAGACAAATATGAATATACTTCTTCTTAATGATTTTGTAATACCTGTATATATTGATTTTAGACTACTGTTGTGGGATTGTGATGACAGAAGCTATAGTTATTACATAGAGGTGTCCATTGATCAGAAAAACTGGCACATGGTTATTGATAAGAGGAATGAGCCATGCAAGTAAGTATTGGAATTTCCACGTAAGCAAAGCTAGCAGTCATCATGATTTAATTGTAGGGTGCGAACTCTTCAGTTTGTGGATAAGGCCTCACAGCAACTGTTAAGATGTGCAATAAGTATGAAAGCAGTGTCTATGATATTTAGTTATTTCCAATACTTCACAAAACCTGAACAAGTTTTCAAATTTTGAGATACAGTGAAATAAGTTGTAGCAGTTTGAGAAAATTGACATATGCAACACTAGTTGAACTTAGCAAACTAATGCCTGTCCCAAATCAGGAGCATGTAGTTAAGTGGTCGTCATTGGTTCATGTCTGTCATACTTGTTTTTCCTTAATTGTTTTGTTATAAATTAGGCCGTTAGTTTTCTCAATTGAATTGTTTCATATTTTTCATGTCTGGGCCTTTTATAGCTGACTATACATTATGAGTTTTTCTCATTGTTGAAGGATGTATGGTTGCCTATAATTGCTTACATCCACTTTATTTGAACTTTGGTGGATAGTTGTCTCATTGGCAATCATACCTCATTTTATTTTTGAAAAAACCAAAATAATATTTTTTTTATTTCATAATGATAAGAGACAAATGTAATAAGTTTGTAAATTGCATAAACCAGTTTTATGTTTATTTAGGTCTTGGCAGCACATAACTTTTGAGAGAAGACCTGTAGCATTTGTTAAGATTGTTGGTACAAGTAACACTGCAAATGAGGTAAGATTCACTAGGGATGGATGTTAAGCTTAAAATTTAACAGAAATTTACTAATTTATTATTAACATAGACATACATAGATGCTTCATAAGGGTTCCATTATTTTGATTGGAAACAACCTGTGGTATTTTACCAATAAAAAACAACATCCATGACAAAGTTATAATAATGCATAGGAATATTTAAATCAAAACAAATCTGAAGTCCCGATTTAACTCATGATTTCTCTTAATGCATTAAAATGTTATTTTAATTATTGAATGCTTCTTTTTTTAGTTTTAAATGGTTGTAAATTGTTAAAAGGGTAGACTGTCATTCATTGGCGTATGAAGCTTGAAAAAATGTGCTTTCATCGATGTTTTTACACCCAAATAAAACTACAATTGAGCAATATGTTTATATGTTTCAATTTTTGCATTTACATGAAAATATTGAAGGAATTTGGAAATTTATATATATCAACCAATTTGTATAATAAAAGTGAACAAATTTTATTACAGGTTTTCCATTGTGTTCATTTTGAATGTCCTGCAGAGACTAGTATAAACATGTCAAACCAAGGAGGGGCATGTTCACTTCCCGTTAACCCAAGTGGATCCGCCAGTAATAATAGTATTCAAGGTCAACAAACACCAAGCTCTGAGAACTATATTAGTGCAGAATATTCCCCGCAGGATGCCCCAGAGGCAGACAGAATGGACACACATGATTCTAGTGATTCTGAGAGCTGACATGGAACAAAAAACCCAATCTGTTTAAATGGATGCCCATTGTTTCAGATGATTAAAAAAACTGACATGAAAAACAGAAGTAGAAGAAAATTTTTTAAGTTGTGTTTATGATATTGCTTTTATGCAAAAGGGGAAGGGGTGATCAAGCTTTTTATTTACATTTGCATGTATTACAGCTAGTGTTTGAAATTATGATCTTCATGTAGATGTATTTATATAAACCGCCCCATTGTACATTTGATGAGCCATTTATTTTTTTATTTTTTTTTTGTACATGAAAGTAGTATTTTCAGATGTACATAAATGCATTGCTTTGATAAGTTATTAATTTCATTGATAAAATTTCTCATTCAAGAATGAAGGATAAATTAGAATGAGAAATTGAGAGATTGAGAGATATAAGGCCTGCTAAATGAATATGAAAAAAAGAGTTTTGACCACACCAAATTGATTTTTAGTTACATGTATTTCAATTTCAGGGACATGGCCATAAAAAATCTGAGCAAACACTTTTTTTTTCTTTCTGATAGCACTTCTAAAATCAGAATATGATGTTGTTGTTTTTTTTAAGCTTGCTGTTTAACAATGAAAACTCCTGAATTGAAAAGGAATTAAAGGCATAGCCAATTATATTTCACTAAAATCCATGCAAAATTGATTTTTTTTTTGTCTTGAGTGCAATAAAAAAAAAATTTTCAATGATAAATATTATTTACCAAAAATTAATGAAAGAAGATCTGCAAAAACTTAAAATCAATTTAGTGTAGGCTTAAAGAATGTGAGGAAGGTTGTGCCAAATACTCTGGATTTAATTTTGTAAGTACAAATTTTTGTGGTAAGAAATATAGGATTCATGCTTTATCATTTGCTTTCATTAAAAGAATATGGAATTTTTATTTTGTTGAGAACTGAAATTTGCTTTAGGGCTGTTCCAAAATTGATTATGGTGGAGGATTTGAAGCACTCAAATTAATTAATTGTGGGTGGTTGCAGTTTCCTCAGATTAAAATTGAAATCTTATTTTATGGTTTAGAAAATGTGCCTCCCATATCCCCCATGTATTTAATTCTAGAACAGCCCTTAACGTATCTATGAAATTTGGTATTGTACGAATTATAATGAATCCACAGTATATTTTTATTTTTTTTGTGAAATCCATGACGGAGTTATATAAGATTGTCTGTGATATATATAACATAAAAGATTGTTTTCCTTATTGAAAAAAAAAATCAAAATCTTCATAGATTCTGTAGTTGTGATGAAGAAATGTATTTCTAGAAAAAATTATGATGCTGTTTTCACAAATTTTTTTTATGACCTCGGATTGCAGCATTGATTTTGAAAGGTTAGGGCTGTAAATCCTGTCAGAAACCATGAATTGTATTTAAGCTTTGGTACAAGTCTGATTTGATCTGGATAATTTTGAAATACTTTTGACAATGTGCAATATTTTTTTTTTCCATTGATGGTATATATGAATATTAAACTTAAAGATTCCATGGTACAAAACCAAGCATGAAACAGAATTGATAATTTAATCCTGTCCATTTGTGAAAAAGGTAAATTATTCAAAAGCTCTATATTTGGAAAGAAAATCATTTCTATATAAATTGCAAGATGCCTAGAATGTTCAACTATTTATTGTTCTAGTAATACTGGCAGTCAATACAAGTTATAAAAAAAACCACCAAACTGCTGTTGTATCATGCTGTTGCAAAACACTTATATTTTATCAGTATTTATATGAAGATACATGTACAAGTGCTATTTTTTTTTTTTTCATTTTGTGTCATTTTTTGTGTTGTTTATATACATATTGAACTACTGTAGTTTTATACATGTATGTAATGGCTAGTGAATTTTAAGAGTCTTTCACATTTTTCATTTTGCAGTCAAATTTAAATATATAATGAATAACTAAGTCAAAATATTAAAATCTACATTCCTGAAGATATTTATTTGTTTGGGAAAAAAACATTGCCTTGATTTTCAACATTGGTTTTGAGAATTAATTAATAATATTTATTCATATTGTCATTTTCATGCAAATTTATTATATAATAATGTATAGTAAATAATTTGATAAAGCATGATAATTGTGCCTTCTGGTCTTCAATTTTTTGTCAGTGATTTTTTTTTTAAAAGTTTTAATTTGATGTATCTTACACTATCTTCCCTTTTCAGTCATTTTGCCAAAAATGGCCCTACAGGTTAACAGTTGGGAACTTTTGTATATTAAATGACTCTTAATCTCTGTGATACTGTCTAAAAAATCTACTGAGTCAGAATTTTTACAAATAGATAAATTAAATACTGTCATATTTTTTTTTGATAGCTTGATAGGTTGATAGCAACATTTTTTGTAGTCTTGTTTTTGTGTCAATTACGTTAAACGATATTTAGGTTGTTTTTGTGTCAATAACGTTCACAAATCATATTTAGGTTCTCATCAACTCATAGAAGTTAGGAAGGGATCGATCTAAAAAAACATCCTTATCGGAACTACTTTCTCTCTCTTTGTTTTGGTAGTGATCAGTTTTTTGAAATAGTTATACATGCAAGAATGTCAAAATTTACTTCAGAAGAATTTACAGAAACATTTCCCCATTATTGACCTATAGATAAGCCCATGATCATTTTATGTTGTTTAAAAATATGTTCCTCATTTTAATGTGTATAAAACTATTGTCAATGCTCATGATTTTTTGTTTTGCCAGAAAATTTGCTTGCAACAATTTTTTACATATTTTTTTTTATTTCAAGAAAGATTTTGTAAACAAGAGTCTAAAAAATAAGTTGAAATTGTACAGATTTTTACCACCATAATTCAACCCTGAAAACATTATTCATCCCATTTAACAAGAAGATAGTGCATTCGGGTATTTCTCAAACTAGTCTGGTTTCAAAATTTGTAAGGAAAATATAATTTAGTAAGACTTTAATTAGTTTATGATTCATTTGAATACAGTTTAACTAACATGACTAATTGCTAAGATATACATAGGAAGTAGTATTTTGATAGAAATTTTATTCTCTTGTAAAAGGATAAAATCTGAAATACAATAACTACCTTTTAGATTTGTTGCACATTTAGGACAACAAAGTCAAGGTCAGGCAGAATACTTATCTTCTTCCAGACCTATTGTCTGAAGGTGTTATTTGTAAAATAAAACAATTGAAATAATCGTGTCTTGTCCAGTGAGTGCTTCTCATGATTTTTCTGTTACATTGAAAAAAAATTCTCAAACAGTAAAGTGATTCTGATGTTTTTCACAACTCTAGTACAACAACACTTACCTAGTCTTGCAGCTACTATCATTGAAGTAATTCATTGTGTTTTGAAACCTTTTATTTATGCAAGGATAAAAAAGGTCTGTTGCAAAACAATATTTGAACAGACTACCATATTTGATTTGTTTTTTTAGTAAAATAATTGTTTGTGTTACAATGTTAATTTTTCATATTTAATAAAACATTGTTTTATGTTTTGTTTGCATTTAAAATATGGCCAGTGTCTCAGATATTTTACTGAAAACAAGTTGGCCTCATAGGTTGCTTTTATATTGCCCCAAGTAGAGTTAATATGTACAGCAATGTAGAATTTATATGCTGTCAGTATAAAATGGTGTTCAATACGCAGTGAAAACATATTTTTATTCCCTGCACGTTGCCCTTCAGGATATTGTTATGATATCCATCCATGTGTCAGTCTGAAACATATCAATACTCAGAAACTGTTGGACGTATAGTTTTCATACTTGGTAGGATTATTTGTCATTATTACATTGGTTGCAATGAATTGCTAGTGAAATAAAAACTGATAATTTCACATGTGAAATAAATCCGATTAATTTCATTTGTGACATCATACAATAATAGGTGTTGTCGATGATGATCCATCAAAGCAAATTGTGAATGTGTAGAAAGATATAGTTCCTCGCATTTTCAACTTTATTTCCTTCAAAATGCCCATTGTCAATGTAATAAAAAGAATAACTATAAATCAATCAATTCAAATATCGAAAAATATTCAACTCATGACCGAACAACACTGATAATTAACTCATGAGCTACGCGTACGCACATTCATGAATTTATGTGTTGTTCGGTCACTCGTTGAATATTTTTCAATTAATTAATTATTCTATAATCATATTCTCTTTACCTTGCTTTATCATCAGTTTTATTTGACATTTTTTTAGGTCATGGGACTAGTTGTGTCTATTTCTTTAGTACTATAACAATGACATTCTGTGAACACACATTCTCTGAGTCTGTTTTACATAAAGTTGTCATACTTGGTAGGATTGTTCAACCATTTTTATACGACTGCAAATATTAAAATTTTTTTGGTCGTATATTGGTATGACGTTGGCGTCGTCGTCGTCCGAAGACACATTGGTTTTCGCACTCTAACTTTAGTTTAAGTGAATGGATCTCCATGAAATTTAACCATAAGGTTCAATACCACAAAAGGAAGGTTGGGATTGATTTTGGGGGTTATGGTACCAACAGTTAAGGAATTAGGGGCCAAAAAGGGGCCAAAAATAAGCATTTTTGTAACTTCCAGACATAACTTGTGTGTAACTGTATGGATCTCTCTGACATTGTACCACAAGGTTCCATATCACAAAGGGAATGCTGGGATTGATTTTGGGGGTAATTGCCGCAAAATTTTAGGAATAAGGGGCCAAAAAAAGGGCAAAAAACAAGCATTTTTCTAGTTTCATGATAATAACTTGTGTGTAAGTATATGGATTTTTCTGAAATTGTACTTCAAGGTACCATACCACAAAGGGAAGGCTGGGATTGAGTTTGGGGGTAATGAATCATAAGGGGGTTCAAAAAATTTAGTGGAGGGATTTTTTAAGCTCTTAGACCACATTCATTCTGTGTCAGAAACCTATGCTGTGTCAAATATTTAATCACAATCCAAATTCAGTGCTGTATCAAGCTTGAATGTTGTGTCCATACTTGCCCCAACTGTTCAAGGTTCGACCTCTGCGGTCGTATCAAGCTGCGCCCCAGCGGAGCATTTTATTACAGGAGTAATGGGACTTGACCATTTTGTTTAGTTTTGTGATAATAACGCCTTGTGAATGCAACTTCTCTTAGACTTTAAAAGCTCTCATACATGGTAGGATTGTTTCTTTGTGCTAGCTACTTAATTTTGAGCATTAATTCATCTTCATGTAGTTGGAACCTGGAAAACTGCATCATACTATGCTATATGAACCTTAATTTGATAAAATGGAGATGGCCTGCAATGGATTTTTCTAAAAACATGTGAAGCTTTGAATGTATGCATGTCACAAAGGAAATATGTATACATGATACGGGTTATGTTCTTCTTGTATAATTTATGATGGCATGATACTAAACTCCTTTATGAGAGGGATTGTGGTTGATTTTCACTGAGGTTTGGAGCTGGCATGTCAGTAACTGCTAGTAGTCCTTTGTTAATTTATGTTGATCATTGTCATTTTGCTTAGTTTCTTCTGATATCTATTATAACATCAGATTCCGGGACTTCTTTTAAACTTAGTTTTACTGTGAGTTTGTTTATTCCACATTGGCTAGAGGAGAGACTAAAACTGCCAAAGCCACCAAAGGGACTTCAATGCAGCAAAAAAAAAACCCGCACTCGAAGGTGGATTTCAGGTGGCGCCTCAATAATAATGTATATTGGTTCAGCGAAATGGACGCCACGTTGACCTCCAAAACATATAAATGAACCAAAATTTAAAAAAACACACAAGACTAACAAAGGCTAGAGGTTCCTGACTTGGGACAGGTGCATTAATGCAGTGGGGTTAAACATGTTTGGTGAGATCTCAACTTTCCTCCTACTAGTATACCTTTAACAGAAAGAGGATGAGCGACAAATGGTAAATAACATCACACAGTAAAGCATGCTCACATGAGGCTTGATAACCAAATATCAGGAATCTATGATTTATCATTTCTGGGAAAAATCGGACAAACAGACTGACAGACAGACATATTTAAACCAATAAAACCCTTCCTTGTGCAATTGCAAGTTTATGATTAAATAAAAGTTACACCATGCCAACTCCATACAATGAACTAGGTGAGCAAGCTAGCAGTTTGACTCATCTTGTGACCAATCCAGTAGTAGTTGGTTAAAAAGAGAGAAAAATTCAACTAAGTTGTGGTGAATCATCAGATAGAACTAGATATGAATGAAAGAAAAGTAAGTAGCCTCTATTTCCGTGGTCATCGTTTGTTGTTGTATATCATATTTGTTTTTTGTTCATTGTTGTGTACATAAATCAGGTAGTTGGTCCTTTTCGTTTGAATTGTTTTACATTTGTTATTTCTGGACCTTTTATAGTTTACTATGTGGTATGGGTTTTGCTCATTGTTGAAGGCGGTACGGTGACCTGTAGTTGCTAGCTTGCCTTCTACTTCATTTGGTCTCTGGTGGAGAGCTGTCTCATTGGCAATCATACCAAATCTTCTTATTTTTATATTCAAAAGAGAAAAGGTGTACACCAGGTGTTATTACCATATCTGCAGAGTTCATACAAATTATAAAGAAGTCTTTTTTATAAAAACAATTTTTACTAATATCTTTTTCCATTTTACAACAAAATATCACAAAGCTTGTTCTAGATAACCATATCTTAACATATTTAACATATACATAATATTCAAACAATACTCATTCATCCAAAATTAACACATTACATTTATATGTAACTGTTTACAGATTACATAAACATAAACATATAAAGGAAAGGAGATGTTGTAAGGAAGTCAATTATCAACCAAAACCTAGGATATCGACTGGTCACTGTGCAGCCTTCAACAATGTGCAAATATCCATATAAGTTAAACCAAATTTGAGGAGGTTCGGGATATCAAAAACTTTTTAAACCTTCCACATGATATGTCCTAGTCTGATGTAAGGAACCTATTTAATGGCTGTTAATTGTTGTATCATGGTTTTTTTTGGTTTTATTATTTTGAAAATAGGATGAAGATGGCAGGTCTTTGAAAGAATCTGTTAATTTATTTACAACATTTAAAGACTCTGGAGCATTAAGAGCTTGTTAAACAGTATAGACACCTGTCTATTGGTGACCTCTAGATGTCTTTCAGTTTATTGTGTTGTCTCATTGTCATATACCAGTACTCTATATCTCCTTTTACTTATATCAGAGTTTTTTTATTAAGTGTTATATTCACTGGAATTCTAGTTCAGTAAATAAAATTTAATTAATACATGTACATCTAACATAGCATTTTTAAAATTGTTTCACATTTTGTCATCTCAGTTCCTTTTATGATAGGGTATACAGATTAGAGAATAATAGACGTAAAGGGCTAAAAAATAAAGAATAGAGAAAAATGGGCAAAAAAAGTACAGAATAGAGAATAATGGGGTGTTAAGATATAAAGAATAGAGAATAACGCAAATTTATAATCAATAACGAAAAAAAAGCCTGAAAAATTAAAGAATACAGAAATGAAGGACCCCCATCCACACCCTCTTTTATAGCTTACAATATGGTATGGGTTTTACTCATTATTATAAGGCATTACTCTGACCTGTAGTTGTTCACAACCTAGTTCTTTGGTCATTAGTCGGTTGTTGTCTCATTTGCAGTCATACCACATCTCCATATTTTTATAATAATCATATAAATAAATTGCACATATATATATACATTGTTGAGACAATTTTTTTCAGGAACTTTCATGAAAAGGAGGGGTCAGGTACCCACCTCCCACAACCATAATAATGATTATTGATAACAGACCTATGCTTGATATCAGAGGATGAAAATTTATAAACTTTAAATTGTAATACTACATGTAGGTGCAATATGAAATTAATATTAACCATAATAAAAAATTATGAAATGAAACCAAAATATAGGTGAAAAAATATTGTGAGATCAAAAACAAGACCCTAACCAAAAAATCCAATAAACTACATAAAACTTGGCAAAATGTGAACACTGATGATATGTTACACTTATTTCACAATCATCTCATGTCAGCCAATTTATTGCAAGTAGTCAATTCTAATTTATTTTCATTTTTTTTATTTCAAGAAATGCCAGGTGTTAAAACCGGTGTTTGTCAGGGCTGTTCAAGATTTAAATGCATGAGAGGTATTTAAATTTATAAATTGTGAAATGTTGCATTTTTTAATTTGGTAAAAATTATAAGTAAAATGAAAATTATAAATTATGGGTGGTTGGGGTCTAAAAAAAAGTGCCTCCCAGATAAATCCTGCTGCTTCACCAGTTCAACTGTGTTTTCAACATCTTACAATTTATAGTTACCTCTTAAACTTGAACTGATCCATTGCAAGAAAATTGTTTGTTACAAGGATAATTCATGCTATTAATAATTTATAATAACATTGTATGGTTGTTACAGTATTGAAATTACAGTTTAAAGATAAAATGCAACAAATCCAAATTAAGCACATCAATAAAAATGTAGGCACATAAAAATGGTGATATGTTCAATCCTCACTATATAAGATATATCATAATTTTATTATTCCTGATGGCCATAGCTCAAGGTATCATAACCTTTTATTCTGTGTCAATATAAATTTAAAAGGTAAATTTTACTGTATTTCTCTTTCAATATTTTTCATTTTGATAAATTGTTACTAATCACATTTTTTTGTAAATTTTATGCACAATGTTTTAACCATTACAAATAATGAAATTTAAAATAAATAATAATAATAATAAAAGTATAGGAAATTGTTCATCAATTCCATTATTTCAGAATTATATAAAGCACTTAAAATATATTTATGTTAACATGGCTAACATGGAAACATGAAACACAAATAAATTTTGGTAAAATTCTGTGAGACAATTTAGACTGACATAAATAATGTAATGTTACTATATATTGATAAAAATAATAAACCTGTCTAATAAAACACAACTGGGACTAAACACTTTTTTATAATATTAAAAAAAATTGAATGAATATATTGTAATATACTAATCAATCAGTTTTGAAACTCAAAAGTTCAGCCGACCAATTTCAAAAATGAACTATGCATTCTCTAAAATTCTCCATAGGCATTTTATTCAAACAAAAACCTAAAGAAAATGAGTGTTCCCATGATACAATACATTTCCTGAATAGATCCATTATAACATGGAAAACATATCTCCAAATTTCTCTTGGTTTAGTGTTAAGACAGTAATACTTTCTATAATTAATACTTAATGTAAAATTATTTTTCTTGACAAATATCATTAACAATGACATATGGGACTTCCAACTAAGGGGTGTTCCAGAATTAAATGCAGGAGGGGAGGGGGTCATCAGGGAAGCACTTTTTGAGACCCCAACCACCAATAACTATTTTCATTTTACTTATAATTTTAAGGAAAATACAGCAACTCATATCTTATTAATTTGATTGCCTCCTACACCTCCCCCTCCCCCAACCCGATAATTTTGGAACAGCCTTAATCTTATCACAATAACAATAATTATATATAACATGTATAAACAATATAACAAGCAATAATTATAATGGTCCTAAACGAAGAGCCCTGCTTACACAACCCTACATTTTTTATATTGAACTAACAAGTATGGAATTAAGACAAATAAAATATAAGTTTCCATTAATTGACAAACAGCCTTGTTTGAATCGGAAAAAAAAACAGCATTGAAATTTGTATATAATTTTGTTGACCTTTTGTGTACAAATGAAGAAATGTACTTTAACATCAAGGTAAATTTTAACAGCTTTGACATGTTTGAGACAATTAGTTCCTATTTTTTCTTAATCTACTGGTTTCAGTGATATCTGTAAGATCAATTTATCATCAACGAGATAGGGAGAATTTGATTGTGCAAGCTCTCCCACACCGACTTTCTTATCCATTTCTGTATCAGCTGTATACCTTGTTTTGGAGAAACTTTTCCTCCCATAAACAGAGTGAATAATCTCATCTTTCCCCACTATAGACAATAAATACTCAATTGGTCGGGGTTGGTCTAAGATCAGATTTGAATACAAAATACATCGGAAGTCATCTGCATTTGAACTAAAGCCTTTTGGAAAGACTTTCAATTCCCAATCCCAAACTTGAACAGGAAGTGATGAAGCTCTGGTTGAAAATCTTTCACTGATCTCATTAAACCTCTGGCATGATGGGTAATGGATGACAAATCGTTTTTCCCATCGTAAATCTGTGTAATTTCTTAGTAGACAAGCAGGCGATGTAAAACATTTTTCATGTGCTCTTCCTGTCAACGTTAAAGCATGATATTTATAAGCCAGTAAAAATGGCTTCTGAAATAGTTCTGGATGCTTTTGCACTATTTCTGCTCTTTCAATCTCACACAACTGTTGAGGAGCCATCATTGGAAATCTTATATATTTCACAATTTCCTGTAAGTTGGTTTCAAGGTTATCGAGACGAGCTTGATGCTGTGATGATATCAGCCATTTTACAGCAGCTTTCCATAGTTCGTATTCATCTTTTACAATCAGATCTGAACTTCGTAAAAATTCCACCAACTGATCTCGGTCAAGAGTTATCCATTCTTGCTCCCACTCAACAGACCCAATCACTTCATCCATTTTCTCTGCAAGGACATTCACACATGAAGTAATAAGTTGCTTATGATAACATTTTGTACCGTACTGGAACCACTGGTGGAACACATCTTTCAGTTGTAGCTTTGGGATGATAAAAGAGCATGCAAAGTTTGTACAGACCTGTCGTAGACTAGTAACATTGTATTTATCTGCTAGAATGAGGACAGGTAATGTATTGTCCATGTTAAGTTTGATATGGCAACTGTAAAGAAACTTTAGAAATCGTGGAAACACTTCAACACATTCGTTTTCTTCTACCAGTTCTACTTCCTGTGAAAAAAAATGTGGGTTAATTTAAAATAAGCTAGATGGCCTAAATAAGAATTAAAAGGTTCTTCATATAAACAAAAATAAATCGCTAGAACAGTATGCACATTTTGTCACTTGTTTAAATCAATAAACAATAGTATTGAATATTGTGTGCTGTCTGCACAAACATAATTATTAATAACATACTAGAATTATTTTATATCATTCCATCTTTAACTTAGAGCATAAGACAAAGAAGGAATCTCTCATTGATTTTCCTTAACATTTGATACAGTCAATTGTTATATGCACTGTCGAAATTAGCTAAGTTCATGCAATTCTAGATATCAAAATAATACACACTCCCTTCAAATTTGCTCTATAAATTATAAATGAACGTGTATGTCTTTTTACATCACTCTGTGAGAATAAATATCATTTGTCCATTTGTAAGTGTAGAAACACAGCTAATTTGAAAGGGTTTATCAACAACTCAGTTTACTTCAAGAAATCCAATCAAGTATTATATTCACAAAAATACCTTTTTCTCACTGTTACTCCAGTCTTCACTAAGCATCCTTTCAAACACATCACTACACTGGACCAGTATAAATTTATGTGCATAAAATTTATTGCCTCCAACTGTAAGGATAATATCACTCAGTGCTTCATTGTTGAAAAATTTGGTCTGTTTCGTCAGAACTTGCCGCTCATTTCCATAACAGTCAATACCTTCTGGACTGGACAAACTTAGCGTGGAGGGAGATGAAGTCAGGGAGACATTTAGTAATGATTGAGTGGGGCTGTCACCATGGTCTGCTTGTGGTTGAACGGGTTGTAAAGACAGCTGTTGTATATTAGGGGGAGAAGCCATTCTACCTGAAACATAAAAAGCAGATAAGTTACACGAGTATTGAGATTAATGATAAAATTGGCTGAATTACTTTCCATTCAGAATATACACTTTGAAATGATACTCACTAATAATACTGTACCTGGACTGGTATGTTTTTTTCATATTCCCTGATACACACAACCAGGCTGAACCTTAAAACTACTTTCAAATTTAAGGATGTTTAATTTTAACTATAACTTAACAAAATAAAATTCTCCACTGGGTGCAGCTTGATGAAACCTGAAAAGTTGGGGCAAGTATGGACACTACATTCAAGCTTAATTCAGCCATGAATTTGGATTGTGATTAAATATTTGACACAGCATAGGTTTCTGACACAGAATAAATGTGGTCAAAGAAATGAAAAATTTGAAATTGAACTTTTACCTATTATGTTCCAATATCCAAAATTTAAAATACACAGTTAGATTCATCATATCCAAGTACATCAAGAATTTTATTTATTTATTTAAGAAATGACTAATATTTTTCTGTCTATGAAGTAATAACATAAAAAATGTGGTACACACTGAATAACCTGCATAGCAGTTTATTCAAAGGGGCATTAGCTATCAAATTCATGTTCACCAATTTGACTCAAATTCTCGTATATAATTTATAACCTACTAAAGCGTATATCCAACTTTCAAAAAGTCTAAAATGAACAATTAACAAGGCATGGACTCGATAATTTTATCCGTATTTCGTGTGTATTTTAGTCTAGACGCCATCTAATTAACCATCCAAGTGACCTCCGAAGACTGCTGAAGGTCATATAACCCGATATAAACATAAATATAGATATAACTAGACAGCAAACGCGTGCAATTGGATTTTTCTAGGTCTGTTTGATCTCATATTATAGGTTAAACAAATATGTCAATCATTGTTTTTACACGTATAAGAATGAGTTTTTGTGGATCGAATCAGTCAACCAAATGATTTACTCTTGTTTCACTTTCAAAGTTGACATTCTTTAACTTTTAATTGCTGAACACGCCTAGTTTATGCGTAACCCATCTCTAGCTAAGGAGTTTAATCAAGGTTCACATGAATACAGATTCAATGAGGTCGAATTATTCACTTGCAAGTGAATAATTCATCAGCAATATTTCTTAGCTCATTTTCACAAAACTGAACCAAACTGGTTACTAAAAGCGAATTATTATTTCACTATTTCACTTTGATTAATTATTGAACAAAAAAAAAATCATATCTTAATTTTTTTTTATATCTCATAGCTAATGAATGCCCCTTTAAAAGTGTGCACCACATTTTTTAGGTTATTTCAAATAGACAGAAAAAATATTACAGTCATTCCTTATAATTTAATTCTAAATTCCAATTTTCAAGTTGATGATGTAACAGTCACAAGACAGGTTATCTCAATGAGCTGATAGACAAAAAACTATCAGCCAATCAAAGACGTGTTACATCCAAAATTAAATTATTTATCAATGGACAATATTAGCTAAGTTTTTAAAGGGGTTCCCTCCATAAAAAAAAAATAATATAAATATATAGCAATCTGAAAACTGATTTATACAGAATAACAAACAAACCTACAAGGAAGTTTTTCAAAAAATGTACAAAAAAAATGAAAAAAACAGTTTCCAATATATCTTTTATAATTAATACAATGTCTTTAAAATATCTATGAAACTTACCTTTAATTATTTTTCAAAATATCTATAAATGAACAGTAAATTTCAAACTATATTTATACAGCATTTTTTTTCTCTAAAATTAGAATTTTATGCTACGTCTAATTTTAAACTATGAATCATATTATTTCTATCAATTTTGCAATACAGCTCTGAATTTAGATTGTGATAAAATATTTGACATAGCATAGGTTGCTGACACAGAAAGAATGTGGTCTAAGAACTTAAAATTTTGAAATTGGACATTTACCTATTATGGTCCAATATCCAAAATCTAAATACACGGTTAGATTCAGCATATCAAAGAACCCTACATATTCAATTTTTGTTGAAATCAAACAAAGTTGAATTTGGGACCCCGATTTGGACCAACTTGAAAACTGGGCCCAGAATCAAAAATCTAAACATATATTTAGATTCAGCATAATAGAGAACCCCTTGTATTCATTTTTTATTAAAATCAAACAAAGTTTCACCCTTTAGACCTTAATGTGAACCAATTTAAAAAACGAGCCAAAAATCAAAAATCTTAATACATGGTTAGATTCAGCATATTAAAGAAACCCAGGAATTCAAGATTTTACATTAAATCCCATTGAAATTGGTCAAGTAATAAGCAATTTATACAAAGTGTTAGAAAATTATCGTTTTTGGTCCCTTTTTCCAAAACAACAAGGGCCATACACCTCAATATCAGTCCCAACTTTCCTTTTTTGGTATGGAACCTTACGGTACAATTTCATAGAGATCCATAGACTTATATTCAAATAATTGTCTGGAACCAGAAAATCTTAGTTTTTTTGCCCCTAATTTCTATACGATTTTAGCCATAACCCCCAAAATCAGTCCCAACCTTCCTTTTGAAGTATTGAACCTTGTGCCAAGTTGTAGTACAATTTCATAGAGATCCATACACTTATACACAAATTATTGTCCTGAAACAAGAAAAATGCTTGTTTCTGGACCCATTTTTCCCCCTTATTCCTAAACAGTTAGGACAATAACCCCAAATCATTCCCAACCTTCATTTTGTGGAATGGAACCTTGAGGTACAATTTCAAAGAGATCCATACACTTATACTCAAGTTATTGTCTGGGAATCAAATGCCTTGGATGACGACCGTCATAACAATATACGACTGCAAAAATATTGCTGTCGTATAATGACTGAAAAAGAGAAAATAGAGATCTGATGCCTTCAAAATAACATCAAATGTGTCACAAGAGAAATGGTAAACAAATTTTCTAGGAAGTTCAACAAATGAATATAAAATGCTCCGCTGGGCACAGCTTGATACGACCGCAGAGGTCGAACCCTGAACAGTTGGGGCAAGTATGGACACAACATTCAAGCTTGATACAGCTCTGAATTTGGATTGCGATTAAATATTTGACACAGCATAGGTTTCTGACACAGAATGAATGTGGTCTAAGAACTTAAAATTTTTTAATTTACCTATTATGGTCCAATATCCAAAATCTAAATACATACATGGTTAGATTCAGCATATCAAAGAACCCCAAGAATTCAATTTTTGTTAAAATCAAACTACCGGTAAGTTTAATTTTGGACCCTTTGGACCTTAATGTAGACCAATTTGAAAACGGGACCAAAAATTAAGAATCTAAATACACGGTTAAATTCAGCATATCAAAGAACCCCAATATTTCAATTTTTGATGAAATCAAACCATATCATTATAATTTGCTTTTATATATAAATAAAAAATAAACAACTTAAAATACAAAATTTAAAAGAAAAAAAAAAGGAAAAAAAAAATCCCCCCCCAATTTGTTCAACCCCCTTATGATTCATCACCCCAAAACTCAATCCCAGCCTTCCCTTTGTGGTATGGTACCTTGCATTACAATTTCAGAGAGATCCATAACCACTTGAACACAAGTTATTGTCTGGAAACTGTAAAAATGCTTGTTTTTTGGCCCCTTTTTGGCCCCTTTTTGGCCCCAAATTCCTAAACATTTAGGGCAATTACCCCCAAACTCAAACCCAGCTTTCCCTTCGTGATATGGAACCTTGTAGTACAATTTCATAAAGATCCATACACTTACACACAAGTTATTGTCATGAAACTAGAAAAAGGCTTGTTTTTTGCCCCTTTTTGGCCCCTAGTTCCTAAAATTTTGAGGCAATTACCCCCAAACTCAATCCCAGCCTTTTCTTTGTGGTATGGTACCTTGCAGTACAATTTCAGAGAGATCCATACACTTGAACACAAGTTATTTTCTGGAAACTAGAAAAATGCTTATTTTTGGCCCCTTATTCCGAAACGTTTTGGGCAATTACCCCCAAACTCAATTCCAGCTTTCCCTTTGTGATATGGAACCTTGTAGTACAATTTCAGAAAGATCCATACACTTACACACAAGTTATTGTCATGAAACTAGAAAAATGCTTGTTTTTTGCCCCTTTTTTGGCCCCTAATTCCTAAAATTTTGAGGCAATTACCACCGAAATCAATCCCAGCATTCCCTTTGTGATATGGAATCTTGTGGTACAATGTCAGAGAGATCCATACACTAACACACAAGTCATTGTCTGGAAGTTACAAAAATGCTCATTTTTGGCCCCTTTTTGGCCCCTAATTCCTTAACTGTTGGTACCATAACCTCCAAAATCCATCCCAACCTTCCTTTTGTGGTATTGAACTAATGGTAAAATTTCACAGAGATCCATTCGCTTAAACTAAAGTTATTGCGCGAAAACCAATGTGTCTTCGGTCGACGACGACGACGTCATCATGGTCATACCAATATACGATTTTTTGCGGTTTTTATAAAAAGGAGAGGCATTAGTTAAACAAACCCCTTTACCACATTCACTTTTGGACAAATCTGCCAAATGGAATATAATAAGTTGTTTTGGATATAAGACCCCTCAAAATATAGTTCTTTTTAACCTTAAATTTTCTTGGCTACCCTTACACAAAAGTCATTTCATAATCATGATAATGAACACTTTTAATAAGAACCATTGAAGAAACCATAGCTGTTAACAAACAAAAACCTGGTTTTATGAAAATGAAATAAGGGTTCATCAAATTTGGGGATATAAAGTAGGGCAATAGGCTATTTCTCGAATCATGTCTTTCACCGGAAATAATCTTCAATGACGCACTCTCTTATGACGTCATTTACCAGATAGAAGGCGCGCCTGTATCCCTGCACCTATTAAAGTTTGAAGCATCTTCAGGATCGTCGTTCTGCAGGGTAGTATAGATAATAATTTATGTTCCGTAGGTATGTAATCTCAATTTTCTGTACGAATGAAGTGAGTATGACCAACTAATTAGATTTTAATTTCCCAAATATTTCGTGCAGTATAGCATCAAAATTTTTCACCGATTGGATCAACATGTGTTGAAAGTGACGATGCTTCAGATATGGATTTTTCTAAGCTACAAACTTTTACTAGTACAAAATTAAAGGAAACTGAAATTTTTAAATTAAAACTCATTTCTGTTGGAGAGGTGTGTTCACAACTAAAACACCTTATTATTAATAAATCCGAAGGGTTTAGATGGAATTGGTCCAAAACTTTTAAAACTAAGTGCAGAGATAATATCGCCATCACTAACTTTTCTAATATACAAAAGTATAACGTCGAATCGTTTTCCGCATAAATTTAAACTTGCAAGAGTAATCATGTTGATCGTATATGCAAGATTATCTCATCTAAAATATCACTTTTGTTTAAAATTAAAGTATATTTGCCTATACACACAAGACAACTATTTTATAATGCATATATTCTACCATATATAGACTATTGTAGTTCAGTTTGGGGAAATTTATTACAAAAAGATTCAGATAGAATCATAAAACTTCAAAAAAGAGTAGCAAGAATTATACTTGAATGCGATATTTCTGTTCTATCTAATTTTATGTTTTCATCTTTAAAATGGCTATCTTTTACAAAAAGAATAAAATACCAACAATCAATTCTAATGTATAAAATTGTAAATGGACTAACACCTGATTACTTAACAATGCTAAATATTAATGATGTGCAACACCACAACTTAAGATCTGTCTCTAATAATGATCTATTTGTTCCAAGACCAAACACAATTTTTTATAAAAAAATCTTTTCATTATTCTGCAACAAAGGTATGGAATAATTTACCACTGGCATATGACTACAAGTTGTCTATCAGTGTTGTAAATGTAAAGATATTGATAAAATTAAATCTTTGACTATTTGTTGTTCAGAAAAAAAATCAACCTCAACACTAACATGATTACTGAACCATTTGGTGTCGTATACAGGTCAGATATATAGCCTGTTATATATAGTGTATGTGAAATACAAGCTTGGCTATATATTTGACCTGTTACTGTATCCCGCAATGGTGGTAAGTCGTGCACTTAGGGCCATTTTTTATTTTATTTTTCTGTAGACTTAGTTTTGTTTTTTTATTACTGTGTATTGTCAAGCTTGGTTACTCATAATTGTTTCTCAGCCACTGAATGTACGATGTTGTTCAATACTGGAGCAGCTGACCCGGTTTGTTTACATTCACATTCTAATGGCTTCAAAACCATGTGACACATTGAATCGTTATATCCAATCAAATTGCTCTACTGTCAATAAGGTGATTTTTTATTACAAGGCAATTATATTATTTGTTTGTATGATATTGCTTTGAAATGGTTTGCAATAAATTGGGGGTTTATTCAATAGGAAACCTCATTATTAGCCATGAAATTTGACATCAATGGAATTTTATATGAATATTTACTTATGGTCAGAATATCGATCTCTTTATATTGAACCAAGGATTTGTATACAAATCCTTGATTGAACCAAATTTTTTTTTTATGAAAAATATATGTTTATTGTTTTTTATTAACCTACTCTATATACTCCTGAACAAAAATATGGCATGATTATCGTTTGTTTCCCAAAGTTTTTCTTTCAATTTGGATGGGGTTTTTTTCGCGGGAAAATCGCGTAAGACGTAAGGTGCTTGCCATTTTGAAATTCTTAAAAATACGATTTGCTTGGCCTGTTTGGTCTGCCATTAAGATTAATGACGCTCAATGGAATGTAAACAAAGCAATGGAGGCCGGAAGAGGGGTTTTCTTTAGTTCTGAAATGTTTTTAGGCATTCGGAAGTCAGGTTTGAAATGGCCATTAGAAAATCTGCATTTTTGTACAATACTTAAGAATAATAATGAAAACATATCTTTAGAAATATCATTTTATTTAGAAGTGTAGAAAAAATGTATTCTGCACTAATTTTATACGCTGGTATTAGCGTAGTGACGTCAATGCGGAGTTTTTCCGTATGATAAGTACAATAACAAAATCCGATTGAACCAACATAATGACCGATTATAGACTACGGTAGGATATAATACATTATAATGGACCATGATGGAAGAATTTTATTCTGGAATATTATTTTCACTAGAACAAGAAATTACAGTTACAGTATTTTTTATTTACGGAATTTTATTAAAACGTTTCCAGAGGAACTCTTGCTAGAGGGACCAAGTAGTCTCAGACTCAGTCTCAGGTCAGATGGATAACATGGTGTTTATAAAATGATTTTTTTAATCTAGAATGTAAACATAAATTCATTTTCAAGCATTTCATTGTACCTAAGTAAATTGCTGTCTCTAAATTGTGTGACAATCTCCAGAACTTATATTAATTTCATTGTTATTTTACTGCAAATTTCTTTTGTCCGAATTTACCGGAAGTGCCGCATTTATCTCCCTTTGTAGTACTTGTAAAACAGATTTAAAGTCAGTTTATGTAAGTGTTTACCTTTATCACATCCCAAATTGATTAAATAACGATATATTTAGCATTCTTTTACCTATCTGAAACAATTCTTACAGAGAACAAACTACAAAAACTTCACAATTCCTGATTTGAAGGGAAAAAGATCAAGGGTTTGTCTAAATACCATATAAAAGGTCCATAGATTTACCAAAAAACAAACCAAAACACCAAAATCATCAATAATCATTTAACATCCTTACTTGTGAAAACATTTTTTTTATTCACGTTTTTCGTAAATCACTATATTCAGCTTCTTCAACATTATGTTCGTATCTTTGGTAATCGATCTTATTTTTTATTCCCCCGCAGTCATCAGAGGGAGCATAGACCTTATCGCTATTTGGAAATCTGTGCCTCTTGAACTATTGATGTCATACAACAATCACTTTTCCATTGTGGCGTCAGATATTTTCTATTGTGACGTCAAAATTTTACGGGGACCTTTTAGTCCTTAAGTGATTATGACGTCTTGAAAGGCTAGCTATTTTAATTTTTTTCTGGGACTCCTTCCTACGACGTTGTAGGAAGGCATCACAGACAAAAAATAAAATAGCCTTTCAAGACGTCATAATTATTTGGACTAGGGAACCTTTGTCCTGTCCAGTTTTGGCCGACAAATAGTGATAAGGTGTATTAAGTGTTCCCCTTGTCTGTCCGTCCCAAAATTGGTTTCAATTCTCTAACTTTTAATGATTTGCCTCAACCTAATGTTATGAAACTTATACACAATGCTTATTACCACAAAATACAGATCAAGTTCGAATTTGGTTGTCATAGCTTTTACCGTTCTTGAGTTATGCCCCATTATAACGTTATATGCAAGCGGATGCATGACATCTGTGTCCATGCATTTATTCAAACTTATAAATGATTTTAATGTAAACATTCTAATTTTACAACAAATTTATTTATGTTTCTAGAAAATGGCAAGCTTTGGACTGAGGGTTGTATGCCAACAATGCAGATGTGGTCAGCTTAACAGAATAAAAGGAAGCAGACATTTATCTTCCATAACTTACAGCCACAGGTAATAATTATACTCTGTACAAGGAACTTTTCTGTACTTCAGTCTCAGTGATGTATATCAGTTAGGGGTCCTACTTGTACAAGTAATCTTTATTTACTTGAAGAAGTAAATAATAATATACTTATATAAGTAAATTATAATGTTTGAATAATGTCCCCTTAATTTTCTTAAAAATTTACTTGTATAAGTAATTTTTTTTTACAATCCCGAAAAATTCTCAAGTTTTGAGATGTAAAAACATGCCTTTTTTCAGGTTAGCTCATAAGTTTTGATTAGAGTTCAATGTTTCATCTCATTAATTAAACAAAGAAACTAATTGTGCAAAGATCTTAAGTACTTGCACCAAGGCATTCAAAAATTGCCCCTTGGGGGCTTGTAAATGAGCAGTGTTCTGAAGATAACAGACAAATGAGATTTTCATTGTCCATGAAATTACACTTAAATGATTAGTAAAGACATCTGCAAAGGACAGACAATTAAAAACTTCTATTAGAGCAAAGAAGTCCTAAGAAATTCAAGAAAAGAAGATAGGATGACTTTTTTACTTGTATAAGTAAAAAAATCTGAATTTCTAAAGGACATAATTAAGCCAATTTTTTTTTTACCTATACAAGTAAATAAAATACACTTGTATAAGTATCCTACAAATTTACTTATATAAGTATATTAATATTTACTTCTTCAAGTAAATAAAAATTACTTGTACAAGTAGTACACCTGACTGTATATACTGTGGATTCATTAATATAAACAAGTCAGAATCTTCAAAGACTTGAGCAAGTCATATTATGATTTTTACAAAGAAGTAATAGCATTTTTAGACTTGATCAAGTCAGAATGTGCCAGACTTATTCAATTAGGATTTTTTTCAGAGGATGTATGCTAAATTTTCAGTATTTTATGATTGATTATGTTGATAATGAACCAACTCATTAATTAATCATCTTGCTGCTGAAAGGACACATATCTCCATATTCTTTATTCATGCAAGCACCTGTTCATAACTGTATCTCTTTTCAATAAAATATCAAAGATTATACAGTGTAATATTTTTTTCACTGGGTCTGCGATTTTACGTCATTAGGATGTGAAGTCATATATCGAATGATGTCATTCTTTGGCATGTAACGTTGCAGACAACCAGGTACTGTATTTTCTGGCACAAGAAAAGTAACAATATCTAATCAGTGGCAGCAAGAGGGTTAACCAGGAAAAGTTGAATGATGTTTTACCAAATCAAAATCTATCTTAACATGTTAATTTTCAAGTAAATCTATCAATTATACTTAACATTTTTCACAATTTATCACAAATAAATACTTACATAAAATGGCTAATTTCACATGACTCCTTTCTTTTAGGGTCTCATTCATACTTTTGTTGATAAAAAAGTATTTCTGGAAGGCATTTTTAACATTGTCATGTAGATGCTCAACTTTTAATATTGGTGCAAGTCCCAAAAAGTTAGGCATTTTAGGTTATTTTTTACTGATAGAAATTTTGTTTAGAGGAAAAACGACATGATATCTTACCTAACTTGGAGAAGTCAGTTTTTGTTAAAAAGTAATGGGAGGTAACTCTTGACACCAAATATTATTTATGTCAGAGCTCTGACTGATTAAGAATCGTTGGATACCAATTTTTTGTGGATTTTGTGGATATGCATGAACCACGAATTTAAATTACAAATTTTCTAGGAGATTGTATGAAGACTTTTGCAAAACCTTGAAATCAAATATCCATGAAAATGCAAGTTTATTTAATGCTTGAAAATCAGTACCCACGAAAATAACTTATGACACAAGGTAAGTATCTTGAAAACCATAGAAATGATTCAGCTCTAAACCTAGATTTTGCAACTACATCCAGGGAGAGATGACATTCCTGCACTCAAGACAGTTTAACTTTCAAATTTTTAAATGTGTATATAACATGCAAGCATTTTTATTACAAGTATCTGAAATTTTACAACAAAATTATTTGCAACATCTTCAAGCATGGTCATTTTTCTTCATATTACCACAATGGCATGACCAGAGAACAGCATTAACATTGACAAAATTAAACTAACATAGATGAGCTCCTCAGTTTGATTATCAAAAATAAATAAATGTTCAAAAAGAAAACAACCAAATATCTGTAAAAAAGTAAACAGATAATTTTTAAAGTCACATATTCATCTTGGAATATTCCAGGGAATTATTAGTTTAGCCCTCCTTGCTTGTGTTGACAGATCTATTGAATTCATTTTAGTAAGTTCATTCGTTTATTTTTTCAGACTGGTGCAGAAAAAGAAACAAAACCAAAGTCAAGGAGTCAGCCCATGGAATCAACCTTTAGTTATAAATACACCAGAATTAAATTGGAGTTATCTTTGTGACACAAATAATTTGGAACAAATAAAGGATAATATAGAAAAAAGGAAAGGAATAGGTGACATAGAAAAATTGGTATGATATTTCCATTATTTGATGTACATGAATATACAGACTATTTTTTATCATCAGAATTCTAAGTTTACCCCTAAACTCGTATCGTACAAGTGTTACAATAGGAATTGTTTTTTTGTAATGGGTCATTTTAATTTTACTTTTGAATAAATTTATTTGAAAATTTGCTGGGAATTAAAATCAATATTGCTCATGTATAAAATCAGTCTACTCCAGGGACTTTTCCTCTATTTACCCTATTTCTGCCTCAACTTTTTTTTGGTTTCAGAACATAAATTTGTTCTTCATGAAATTAAAATAGAAATGACAAATTGTAAACAGTAGACATAGCTTGTAAATATTGATTGCAACATAACTTTCAAGTTATTACAAAAACAGCAGACATTGTCGCCCAAAGGTCAAAAAAAGTAATTTCAGTAAAGTCAGGCAAAAATTTATCTTTCATGAAATTTCTGTTTTAGTATCTGAACACATTTCTGACAGAAATTATAAACATATCATCAAAGCTTCTTCATTTAAGTCTAGCCTAATGTCTTACATTTTGCCTGCCACTTTCACACTTTTCACCTTTTCAGTAAAATTGTAACTAATGTGAAGAGAATGTTAAGATGCATGTATGGGAGAAATTCTCAGAATGTATGATGTAGACTAAGAGGTTATTAAAGAATTAATGAGACATGTTAATGATTGAGTAAATGAATTTTATTATTTGGATGTATTACAGCAAGACACTTGGAAACAGCTTCAAGATGAAACTGCAGTAAGTATTTTGTACTTCATCTTGTCATAAAAGTAAATGCTGAGGTTAACTATTTTAAAAATATTTTGTTTACATGATGATTATGATATATACTATTTTCACTGATATTTTTTATAACTATCTAATATTAAAATAGTACTTTATTTTGAAAATTATTAAATAACAAAATTTAAACAACATAAAATGTCTTATTAGAACCCCACTGAAAGAGTGGGCTACATTGCCTTCACCTTGTCCATCCTTTCATCTTTTTTTTCCTCTAGCAAATATTTTTGTCACACTATTTTCAGGTACTTTTGAACGATATGACTTCATATAAGATTAGCATCATGAAAGCGTTAAGTTTTAACTTGTAACTGTTTCTTTGATCCGCCAAACACCTACTTCCTGTTCGCAGATACTTTGAATGTTTGATATGTTAAATGAATTCAAACTTACAATTTTTTGTCACATATTTCTAAAGTACTATTGAACAGAATAGAATTACTCAGCAGCCTAAAAGGGATGAGGTGTAATTTGTGAGCGTTTTAGGGGAATTGTCAGACACCTACTTACTGTTTTTTGATACTTTGAATTACAAGTAGGGGAATGCTTAGCATGACAGATCATGACGTATAAACCTTTGAATTTTTTATTTGCTACTCAAAATGAATATTTTCCAGGACAGTAGAAAACAAGAGCTTACCAA